CAGAATTCGAGGAGTCGTCTTTCCCCTGCCAGCCCCAATTAAGCATGTATCCCCAAATCCCATTTTAAGTGCTAACTACGGTCTAATTAATTAGTATTCCTGGGTGTGAAATATTTTAAGGTTCTCTCCAAATGAGGGATTTTCCTCTTTTGAATGGTTTGGGGTTTTCTGTGTCAACAGCCCCGCCGCTGTGGGATTCCGGTTACTGCTTTAGGTTTGAGGGGTGGTTCGGGGCCTGTCTAAGTTTATGTAAACCCCAAACTCTAAATCCTAAACCCGCTCAGATGTTAGAGAACAAGGATCTTAGGTGGCGAACTTATCTAGCGCTGAGTAACCCCGAGCCACCCTAATGACGCGAAACTCAGCCCCGAGCATGACAGCTCCTGAGAGTTAGAACTCGGGGTATGGCGGGGCTGGAGTTTGGGCTTGGTAAATTAGTTCTGTTGTCCCTATCAAAAGTTGCAGGAGAGCAGTACAAGTTAAGGCCTCATAGGGTTCCTTTTGTCTTTCATTCAAGGAGCGCAATGAGGTTTAGGGTTTAGGTTCTTTTTGTTCTTCTTTCGCGGAGCGCACTGAAGTTTAAAAGGGTTTGGACTGACTTCCGCCGTCTACCTGTGATGCGGAAGGGATTTCTGCCCAGAAGGTTCGGATTGGAGTTCTTGAGGCTTCAAGATCGAGGTTTTGCAGACCAAAGTCTCCGGGTTGAGAGGTGACATGCTGCCCCTAAGAGCCCAGATCCTGATGCCTCGTGATTCATGATCATATACTCCCCAAGCAGACAGTAAGTGCTGTTCTGTCCTAAACCCAAGTACCTACTTACTGGGTGCTGGTGCAGGATCTCGGACAATTGATGTTCAGTCATGACTGGGAGTTTTGTAGGCGATGTGTCTGAAGGTCTTCAGTCTTCAGTTTAGACGTTCTGCTCGTTTCGGTGTTTTCGAGATATCACGGGGTTTACTGCGGCCTCACCACTCGTTACATTCTGCAGCCCTAAACCCCAAACCGAAAACCCTAAGACCCTTTCTTGTCGCTGTAGCCAGATATGTGCTCGGCTCGGGGGAACAGCACCCTTGAGCCCTGGATCCAAGCACCGTCAATGTGAATTCTTGTTTCCGGTTGGTCCTTAGGCCTGTCTATCATAGCCCAAAGGACCACGAAAACTTGTGAATGTCACTTTGGGTTCGAGGGGGTTACACGTTAGGGCTAGGGCCAACAGATCTCAGGAAACACGGGCGCCGTCCTGCGCATCATCAGTGAAGGCGCGGTTGACCACTACATGGCCGCACACTCAGTTGGCAAATGTCTCCATGGCATCATTTGTGCTTGATTGTTTGGTTTAGGGTTTCGGGTGTAAGGTACATTCCCGTATTCGTGCAGACAGCACGAAACACATCCATGGGCATACACATGCAGATGATGCATACATTCGTTACTGACGCTACTACATACGCAGGTTCGTTCATCCGAGAAGCCCTGCAGGGAAGGATGAAAGGATTGTCGTTGACGTCTTGTGTTAGGGTTTTGGACAGTCATTGTTTTAGCAGCGTGTTTTTTGCGAGTGGAGTTTACTTCGAGTCTCGTCGTCTTGAGTTCATATTCCATTTTCTGCTTGTGTTACAGGCAGCTACAGCATTGCGGATCAGTAGTACTAAGTAGTCCAAACCTTCAAACTCCCCCGCAGCCATCTTGGAGCTTGTAAGGCGGCTTCAGGGGTTTAAGGCTCAAGGCTTTGGGGCTTGGAGGCACTGCGGAGTTCTGGTTTCTGCAGCTTTGTCTTTTCTGTTGGACCTGCTGGCGCTGCTTCTCGCATGCACCCGCTGCGCATTGCACTGCGCAGAATGCGCGATCATGAGTACGGAGGCTGCAGCGGACGAGCTGCCGGCCACAGACGTGGAGGCGCCCAATCTCGCAAAACTGCTGCTTTCCACCCCAAGCTTCGATCACGCGATAATATTCAAACAGGTGACTACAGAAGTTGAGCCAGCAAGTCAACCTCACAAACCCTCAGCAATTGCCCATGGATTCCACAACGTTGCACACTGGCTCATGACACCCTGCTCACACCCCGTTTGTTTTCCGGAGATGTGCCGAACGCACATTTTGGTGTTCACACCCTTGAGCTGCAAATGAGTCACACAGTCCTTGCTGCACTTGCTTGCGTTCCCCGCGCGCCCTTGTCATTCCCGCACGTCACATGCAGGAAGTGCAGCCCAACGAGCCCCCGGGTTCAACTGGTGTATCTGGAAGACACACGTGAGTCGAGGTGCAAAGGCTTTTGGCGCAAGGATGTACTGCACAACTTGGCCTTATGCTGCATTTCTTGTTTCATGTGTGTTTCACCTGTGCTATTGAGACCCAGGTTGTCTTCGAAGCCAGTCGAGGCTACTGATTTCCAGAGTAGAGAGTCGCGTTGTCTGTGCCACGATAACCTCCATCCAGACCCCATCCGTTCCCCAGAGCATCCTCCCAGTGCACCCAGGGGTCAACCATGATATCAACCACCCAAACCTTATCCGTTCCCCAGCGCAACCATGGGTCAACTGCTCGAAATCGTGCGTTTGCTGCTGGAGGCTAATGCCGACAAGAACTTGGAGCGGCTTTGCTGCCCTGCAACGGGCATCTTTCAAAGGCCATGTGGAAGTCGTGCGTTTTTTTGCTGGATGCCGGTGCCGACAAGAACTTGGCCGACACCATGGGCTTCACTGCATTGATGCTGGCATCTGTGGGTGGCCACATTGAAGTCGCACGTTTGCTGCTGGATGCCGGTGCCGACAAAGACTTGGCCAACAAGAGCGCCTCCAATGCCCTGAAGCTGGCCTATGTGGGCGGCCACGTTCAATTCGAGCGGTTGCTGCTGGAGGCCGGCACCGGCAAGAGCTCAATCAACAAGCGGCGTCACGGCTTCTCTGATGGCAACCCCAAGAGGCAGTATTGATTGCCAATTCGGGCTGATGGCAGCGGCCGGCGTCTGTCAAAAATGCCAAGCCACAGTTCTCTTAGCAAGACTTGAACCGGGATCAGAAGGACAACGTTCAATGACTAGTATGACCCCGCTCCGCGGGTTTTAAATATTAGGCCAATGCTCGCCGGTCATATCTATGTTAAAAGGTTGATTGCGATACAGACCCTAAGTTGTAAAACCTGAAAGATATCTTAAATAGACCCCGAAACGAGTTAATATAGGGGTCTGACTAGTTACTAATGGTGTACCCCACTACAGTTCCCTACGAATCATATTTTTCAAGAGCCCTTGATTTTGAGATCCCCTGTTCTGGCAAGACACCTGATGCTACTCACTCCCCCATCTTCCTGGATGGGCTTCAAAAACATATCCATATTCTATGAACCCCTATATATGGTATTATGAACCTTAAGCCCGTTTGGTGGCCATGTCGTCCTTAAGGGGCCAGCTCCCAATCCCAATCTTTTCAACCGCGGGTTTCCGGAAATTAAAGGCGGGGGTTTTAAAGCGTGACATGCCAGCATCTACGATTTTCGGGGTTTTAATGGGGTTCACGGGGCATCAAGGTATTTTTTTGCTGGGCGTCTTAATTTTCTAATCTCCCATCTGCGCAGACTTCTCTATGAAGCGACAAGTGACACACTGGCGTATCGAGCTTCACCCCGAACTTTTCCAAGCCACTAAAACACCCGACATAGGGCTTCTGAGGGATTCAGAGGGCGTTATAGGTTCTATAAGTTCTATGATATTAAACAATACACAATGAACCCCACACGTTGAAGACCTAAACTGTTTGCTGGTGCTTAGTAGGGAATCGTGCTTTACTGCCTTGGCTGAGAGGACATGCCAAATAATGCCATGCTTCGCGGGTCCGAAGTCCACATCCAGAGACTTTCTGACGTGCCCAAACCCTTCTCAGACCCAGCGGCCAGATCACTCTAAACCTTAGGCCCGGCCCTTGATACAACGGGTGAGCTAGGGGTGAAAGGTATTGCAGACGTTGCAGCATAGGTTCTACATGCTTGGGATGTGTGCGACCCCTGCTAGCCCCTATCCGGGCTTTCCTTCCTTCACCACCGCCTGCCATCTTACATCCTAAACCGAATGGCCCCTAGCCCCAAAGAATCCCCGCGACACCCCGCCAGCACCCCGCGAAGCCTTCAAATGTTAAACGCCGAACCGTAGCACCAAAGCTCTAGGTTTTGAACCCTAAGATTCTACAAAGTGTTAACACCCAAAGCCCACGACACTCCCGTGAGGTGCGAAGCCCCAGGTCTCTTAAACCCATGGGCCCTGAAATCTGAACTTTAATCCCCAAGGCTCCCATGGCCCTGATGTTGCGAATTTTATCAGGGCATTCGATTTTGAATGAGGGTTCCTGTCAACCTCGGAGTTCCATTTAGGGTTTAGGGCGTAGGGCGGGGTTGTGTGGGTTTGGGGAGTCTCAGTTTCTGAGATGACATGGCAGTATTTTTGATTTTACGTGTTGGTGGGCTCATAACCTGAAACTCGTATGCACCAATCCCTTACGAGTTCTCGCTTGTCAGGTCGTGTCTTCTTCTCGAGCTTTGCGCCGGCGCACGCGACAAAGCAGCTGGTTGGAAAATCTGTTTGAGCGGCGGCCGCTGCCATCATCGCCGTCGTCATCTCCTCTCCTCCTCCTCCTCCTCCTCCCCCAGCGTAAGCTTTGGTCTTGTCTTTGTCATCGTCCGTCACCTCATCCTCCTCACCACCTTCAGGCACAAACCTAGAACGGGCAAGAGTGCACGCCATCCTGTTGAGAGACGTTCTGCCACGACGTTTATTTAATGTTTCAGGGGATGATCATGCGAGTCAGGATTATGCGGTTTCGATATATCGAGTAGTTCCCGTGGCAATCACGCACGTTTTGGAAGATTACATATTCGGCCTGAGGTTTTGTTTGTTGTATGTGCTTTAAGATTGTAGCAAGTTGCTGCTTTGACCTGGGTGGAAGCCTGAAAGAAGGTGGCTGGTTTTCGGAGTTGCTTGCTCAAACAAGCCCTGCATCGTCGGAGCCATGTCTCAGCCTGTGGCCCTCTCCGCTTCTTGGCAGAGTCGACTATTGGACTATTTTGGACTATGATACTAAGATGTTATTATACCATTATACGATTTCACTATTTGATTAATTTTGTATTGTACTACTATACTGTTATATTATTATGCAACTACACTATTATACTATTACACTATTATACTTTTATGCTCTTAAAACTTTTGTACTATTGTACTTTTTTGCTGTTATACTATTTTACAATCATGCTTTTATGCTATAATGCTTTTATTCTATTATACTTTTATACTTTTATACAATTGTACTGTTATACTAGTATACTATTATACTCTTTTACTATTATACTGTTATACCTTTAGACGTTCATACTTGTATTATATTGTTATACCATTATATGAATTTACTATTATACTATTATACTATTATACTATTATACTATTATACTATTATACTATTATACTATTATACTATTATACTATTATACCATTATACTATTATACTATTATATACTATTATATACTATTATACTATTAATATTATTATACTATTAAATACTATTATATTTGTATACTATTATACTATTATACTATTATACTATTATACTATTATACTATTATACTATTATACTGTTATACTATTATACTATTATACTATTATACTATTATACTATTATACTATTATACTATTATATTATACACTATTATACTATTGTATTATTATACTATTATACTATTACACTTTTTTACCATGATACTATTATACCATGATACTATTATACCTTTATACGATTATACTATTATACTATAGACTATTGCACTATTGTACTATTGTGCTATTGTACTATTGTACTTTTCGTACTATTGTACTAGTATACCATTATACTAAAAAGCTAGTATTCCATTATACTATTATACTAATTATACTAGTATACGATTATAAATTTATACTATCATACCATTATTTTAGAAACCCCAGAAACAGCCATTGCACCCCTGGTTCAACAAAGGCCGGGCTCGGCGCTGCGGCGCTCGGATGCGCATTCCTGGCGCCAGGCCGACAGCTTTTCAAAGGCTTCTGGCAAAAAGTGTAGTAGAATTTTTAAAAAGGAACCTCCCAAGACCCTATTCTAATTATTAAGGCCCCTACATTAGGTTTCTGCGTGGTGATGGACTTCTTATGCTTTCAAAGACTCGAGACGAGTTGACAGGTGAGCGGGAATCGATTCGAAACTTGAGTGCAGAGGCGAAGTCTGCCGTGGCCCATGCAGAGAAACTTTAAACCCTACAGTAAAAAAGAACCGAAACCTTACCCTAAACCCTCAACCCTAAACCCCCGAATGCAGGCACGTCGCCAGAGGCACGTGCCCCTCGGGCCCTGCGTGGTGCCTCCCAGGCATGGCCGCAAAGGGTTTTGGGGTTTGAGGGTTTAGGGTTTAGGCTTTGGGGTTTCGGGTTCAGGGTTCGGGGTTGAGGGTTTAGGGTTTGGGGTTCGGTTGCAACTGCAACATCCGTCCCAGCACCTCTCTTCCAAAGCATATACGAAAAAACTGCGGACACAGAACCTGCCTACTTGAGAGAGATCTAGAGAGCAACAGGAAGGCCTTACGATCGGCATGAACGAGGCCCTAGGAAAATGCTGAGCCCCAAGTCCTCATGCCTAAATCTTCAAGACGAACCACCTGTGGCCGTGCTAGGCTCCCCAGGGTGCCGCGTTGAGCAGTGCTGCGTCTTCTACTGTGGCTGCGGCTGTGTCCTCAGTGTGTAGGTTCAGGGGACAAATTTCAGAGATAATCCCATATGCGTTTTTACCTCATCCGGGCTGGAAAGATGTGTCCCAAAACTTTTGACTGGGCTGCCGGTTGCTGGGGTTCATGTCCGCAAATCCCCCACCAGCAGGAAACTCCCGAAACCTCGCCTGAACCCTAAACCCTAAACCCTCAACCCAGACCAGCAGCGCCCTTCCTCTGGTCGGCGCGGGGCTTTTGGGTGCGGGGGCGGCAGCGCGCCGCTCTGCTCGCCAGGCGAGGAGGGCTCGTGTCTTTCTGGTTTTTTATTTGGGTTGCGGCGAGGGTTTCTTCTCTGTCTTACCCTTCTTCGTGCCTCCTGCTTTTCGGTCATGGTCGTTGGGCACAGGATTGATTTACATTTTTTTGGTGCCGATTCGGGGTCGGGGGATGCGGTTTCAAAATTAGTTGGCGAAAGCTGAGGGCTTCTCCGAGCACAGATTTCAGGGTATCGCGCACAGTCAATATGCCGTGAGCAATTGTCTCGTAATACAGGTATCCATGCAGTCATACCAGGTCTTGCAAAAATGGTCGTTATCACGCTATCAGCATCGTCGGCATCACTACGGCTGTATCTTGGGGCCTCCACCTCGTGTGATGCTGAGACTCTGGGAAGCTGCGCATCAGAAGCCGGGGGAGACTCGCATGAAAGCGGCGCAGAGCCCTGGGTTCTTGTTACTAGTGAGGGGCTTCAGGGCCAGGCTTTGACGCCTTTTGCTCGGTCATCTTCGATTTCTGTATCAGAAATCTGAAATCCATCGTGTTTCTGCAAAGCTTATGAGTTTTACTTTCACGACCAGCTGTCATTTGTATCGTCATTCGTATCCAACCTAAATGTTAGACGCGGTGGTAACCTCTAACTTTCATCGTATTCTTTTGACTCCACGCCCAAACTCCTCAACCTTGCATCCGAAGCCTGATCTCCTTTCTTCTGCACCCCTTAACCAACTAACGGTTTAATCGCTTGAAAAGACCCCTAAACTCCACACCCTACTTACCTCTACACCACCAGAAAATGGCTAAACCCCGAAACCCCTGAACCCCAAAACCCGAAACCCCTAAACCACTAAGCCCCCAAACCCTTAAACACCCCTAAACCGCTAAACTCGCCTACCCCTAAACCCCTAAACCTCGAAACCGCTAAACCTCCAGACCCCCGTACCCCTAATCCGCGAAACTTCCAAACCCCGAAACCCCTAAACCCCTAAACCCCTTAAACCTCTACTTCTAAACCGCTAAACCCCGAAACCCCTTAACCCTCCTAAACCCCAAAACCCTTACACCCCTACGCCTCTGCTTATAGCGGCCCTGGGTCCCACGGAGGCTCGGAGAGCGAGGGCCCGATGTGTGCGGCTGGCGGAGAGCCGGTCCACACAGCTGCAGAAGTTGGTACACCTGGGAGGCAGAATTATTTTTTTTTTGTTTTTTGGCTTTTGGGCTTTAGGGTACACCTGGGAGGCAGAATTTTTTTAGGGGTTTGTTTTTTGGGTGGGGGTTTCTTGGGCTTTGGGGTTGTGATTTTCGGGTCTGGGGCTTTTCGGTTTAGGGTCTTAGCATTTCGGGGTTTAGGGTGTAGGCAGGCTACGGCTTGGTATGTGTAGGACGAACGAGGGAGAGGGCAGGGAGCTGAGCTAGAGCAACAGGGTCTGTTGCGTGTCGGGCTTTTAGGGTTGTGAAGGACCCAGTAGTCGAGTAGGTAACCTTTAACCTTTTTTGGGTAGTATAGTCCCTGATAATCCCTATATAACCAACAAGGCTAACCTTGAATTCCCCATGGTACCCGACAGGTCGGAGGAGGTTCCTACATTATAGTACCCTTGTAGATCCCTTATAGTGACCCTTATAGACCCCTTTAAAGGAACCCTAACCCGACAAGTAGGAACCCGAGGTGTATAGGGTTGCAGGTTCAGGGTCGAAGCTGCTTTCTTTTTCCATCTGATCTTCTGAAGAAGCCAACTGTCCGACTTTCCGATCCTACAAAAGTCACCAGGGGTAGAAATGTACAGTAAACTGAGGCTTTCAGTGTTTGAGGTTTTGTGTTTGTGACTTCAGGGTTTCAGAGCCTTAGAGTTGTGTGTTTCAGGATTCAGAGCTTCGGTTTTGCTCAAATATCCCGTGTGAGTCGTTCGTTGTGATTGTAACCGAATGCTTGCAGCATTTGTCCCTGCTTGTTTTTGCTGTACTCAGTATACGTACGTGCCCTTACTTGTGTTTTGAGCCTTAGCCGACTATGGTGCCAGGCAGCCCAGAAGAGAAGGCCCTCGTGGTGAATCTGGAAGCTCGGCGTGCATGGGCCCGGGCCGAGGGGTGGGGCTCTACGCAAATCCACTCCTGTACTTACCATCGTGCAGTTCCTAAGCCCCATGACAGAGTTATGCCTTCCATGGATGGACTTGCCGGTGCACCGCAACCGATACTTGTTGGCGGCTCTTCTTCCCAGGTTTTGGTGTCATTTCGACGAGGCGGAAGCCACATTTACCTGACAACAGAAACCCCAAACCTTCAGCACCAAGCGCTCCCTAAACCTTAAGCCCTAAACCCCAAACCCTAACTGTTGGCATGCTCTTTCTGATTGTGTCGATACGGTATGCAGAGTAGAGGGCTTCGAGCTTTTGAGCCGAATCTCATTATGTACTTTGCTTTAGTAACCTAGTGCTGCAATTATTCGTATTATTGTTATTCTTAGTTCTTCTTCTTCTTCTTCTTCTCAATTCGCAGTTTTTGTTGTTATTCTTGCGATTGTTCTAGTATTACTGTCCTTTTCTTAGCACGAGTATGAGAATCCTGAGAAGGTCCTAAACACTCATCAATACGTGCATCAGGATAGCAACTTCTACGGCAGTTTCGCAGAGATCGGAGCTGGCCAGGAGGCGGGAAAGCAAATTGCGCTCCCTTCATTACAGCTTGGGGTGACGTGAACCGAGCTTTCGCGATCACTGCGCATGTCAACCTTTCTAGGATATTGGTCTTTTTCAGCAGTGTGGTGTACCGATCTTCCTTGTACCTTAACCTCTGCATCATGCCTATCGCGAATGCCCCTGAGTAAAGACTACTTGCGAACTTTGCACTCCTAAATCCGTTTTGCAGGTGTCGCGAACCTTCCTGCAAGCCGGTGCAGCTGCCGGCACGGTGGCGCGGTCAATCTCCGCCTACGACATGAAGATGTCCGATCTGGACTATGGAAAGGTGGCCGGCGAAGTGTTGTGGGTTTCCATCTTTGTGGTCGTTGCGATTCTTCTTGAGTCTGCTAGGGTTTGTTGGTTGTGCGGGGTATTCTGAGCAGATGCTGCCACCTCTCCAGTTCCGTGTGGCAGAGGCTTAAATGTCCGCGTTCCCAAAGCCGTCTTGGTAGCACGTGTGCTATGGTTTCGCATGCTGGAGCTTGCTTGTGACAGTAGCTGATGGTAGCTAGCACCAGAGGTCAGGGTTGCATTGTACACAGTGCGACTGGTGGTTACCATAATCACGATCATCATGACCACATCGGCAATCATCATATTCACGATCATCGTAAACAGCACCGGAACTCGTAATTGGAGGTTCGTGGGTCTTTACAAGTAGTAGGAGAACTGCTACATTGGGGGGACTTATCACCCAACTTATCACTATCCATCAGCCTCCAAGGCACCATTTTTTATATACTGTACATATTGTATACCGCTGCATGTTTGTATCATCTGGTCTTCTTGGTTTTGCTCCTGTTCGGAGGCCGCGCGCTATGTCACCCGAGAGAGGGTGCAGCAGATGCTGGACAAGGAGTACGATGTGGTGGAGAAGAACCTCCGATCTACCAAAGGCGAGGGTTAGGGTTTAGGGTTCAGGGTTTAGGGGGAGGAGAAGTAATGCTGCAATCTGGAGAGATGCGAACACAAGGAAGGTCCACAGAAATAGCGATGCTGGCATACGGTATCCGATTGACAGTTAGTCGAGCAAGCTGATGCAGATGGAAGATGGTCGTATCAATGTCTTACCAAATTTCTGGAGTTCGCCCAGGTGACCTTTTTAATTCGCTGACCGCAGAGTGCCCTGAACACTAAACCTTTAGGGGTCAGGGTTCCTGGATTGGGGCTTAGTAGGCCAGGGTTGTGCGCTTGGGATTAACGCTATTTCCCCATCCATCATCACAATTTCTGTGCGTGTCTACAAGGTTCTTCGGCCTCAGGAATGCGGGGACGAGTAGATAAATTATGGGATTTGATGAATGAGCACTCACCTCCTTTAAGGCTGACCCAACATACCGTTGAATCCGAATCTGAAGCATTAAACCCTAATGCTCAAACCGTAAACTGTAATCCCCAAACCATGTAGGCTTCTCAAAGCTGGAGCAAATCTAAGCAGCCCTGAGGTGAAAGTGCGCGGTTCTTCTCCTTTGCCAGTACCCTCGCAGCGAAGGCCTACATGTCGGACCGGGAGTGCGAAGGCCTGCGACTTCAGGTGTTTTGGGGGCTTAGGGTGCAGGGTTTTGGTTCAGGCTGTTCGGCTGTGGCTTTGGTTCGGCTACAGGTCCCTGGGCAAGTTCGGTTTCGAGAGACAACTTGATCTAGCGATGGTGTAGATCTGAGCGTAACATTCGGCTTGCTTGGTTCGTGTTCTCTTGTCCCTGGTGGGATCAAGCAAGTGCCGTGTTTACCTCGGGCCATATCCAAAAGCTGTATACGCCCTAAACCCCTGCCCGAAACCCTTGAACCCTGCAGCCCCGAGCTCACAGCCCAAGCTTGAAGAGCCCGAAATCCTAAACCCTAAACCCAACCCCCCCCCCCCCCAAAAAAAAAAAAACAACAACAACCCCAAATCCTCTAAACCCTAAGCCCTCTCAGCTTCGATCCATCCCGCGGAGGTTGGGTGGGCCTCAAGTACCAGGCCGAGTGCGGCGCAGCACCGAGCACGGTGTCCGGCACTCGGGGGGGTGGTGGGGGGGAAGGGGGTAAGCTTCGTTTTCTTATGTTTTTTGGTTGTGTTTTAAAGGGAGGAGGCTCGGGCTTATGGTGTCACTGGGATTTTGGTGGGCTCGAGGGGTTAGGGAGCTTCGTGGTCTGGTGGTTTCACGTTATGGGGTTTAGGACGTTGGGTTTCGAGTGGTGAGTTTCCGAAGCCACCGCTGAAACCGACATCTTTCAAGCCGCAGGCGAAGGATGGCGGTTGGAAGTTGGAAGTTTGCAACGACGAAGCTAAGACGGAGCCCCCCAAACTTGAATCTTCAGACCTACCCGGAGTCCCTTACACTCTGAGTCGCAAGCTCATCCTACCCGTCCCCTGAAGCCAAAGTGCGAGGTATTCACGGTTCGGGGGCCTCAACAGAAACCCAGTGATCGTACGCATCTTTGAAGTTAAAGCCCCGCAACGTGCGGTTTCCTCACAAAATACATCGAGACCTCACGTTCTTCTACCTAAAATCACAAGCCGGAAGTACTTCGTATTCGTGTTGATGCGCGATGTGCCCGATCTCTTTTCGTCTGTTGTCCTAAAGCCGTGGAAGCCTTGCCAAGTCGCATTCAAGCTGTTGAAACGAAAAAAGGGTCACTCTTCTTCCGAATGGGATACTGGAAGAGCCTGGCCTATGACCTTCAAAGCCTCGTTCTTCTGAGGATCCTGCACATCCGCATGAGCCAGCCCACGGCGCAGCAGCAGGGGGAGGCCATCGGCGTCCTGGGCACCAACCTCATCTACAACTGCTACTCCATGTCCGGGCCTCGGTTCGGAGTTTACAAAAGGGGCTTCAATAACTACCTGTTTTTGGGGGGTGTTCCTTATCATAATATATATTGTATAAAATACCCCCCAAACCCTATTCTATTGGTTTAGGCCCCTATATGAGGGGCCAAAGCCAGGTATTGATCCGCTGTTGGCCAGGACCCGAAACCAGAGACCCCAAGACGAAGCCCCGAGCCAAGCTGGCCGCCATTGGTGTGGTTCAGGGTTTCGGGTTTAGGGTTCAGGGTTTAGGGTTTAGGGTTTAGGGTTCAGGGTTTCGGGTTTAGGGTTCAGGGTTTAGGGTTTAGGGTTCAGGGTTTAGGGTTTCGGGTTTCGGGTTTAGGGTTTAGGGTTTAGAGTTTAGGGTTCAGGGTTTCGGGTTTAGGGTTTAGGGTTTAGTTGCAAAAGCTTGGCAGCTTGCGAAATTCACTGGCAGTCATGCGGTTTCCGCCATTTTTTGTTTTTCGCCAGGTGCTCTGTGCCCTGAGCCCTGAAGTCCAAGCCCCAAACTGCTCGGAGACCGGAGCGCAAACCCTAAACCCCAAAATCCAACACAGGATCCCCGAGATCACCAAATCCCAAGAGCTTCAGGGCAGACCCATGACCAAGTAGAGCTGTAGCCTTCAACCCTAAACCTTAAACCCTAAACCCTAAACCCAAAGCCCTCCCTTATTGGGTGTAGAGGGTTCCAGGTAGGGGTCTCCTCGTTCTCAATCCTAAACCTGTATGCGTGGGATGCAAGCACCCACGACAACCCGGCACCCAAACCTTCAGCAGTCCCGAAAGGCTTCAACCCTGAGTCACAAATCCTGCGCCCAATGCAACGAAACCCGAAATTTCAAGTCAACTAGGCTCACTAGGCATCCAAATTTCAATCCTGCTCGCCAGCTCGTCCAAAAAGCAATGACGGGTGTCCTTCAGGGATATGTGTTGAAGGTTTTTGGGACCTTCCTTGCGGGTCATCTCGGTTGCACGGAACCTAACCCCCAAACAACAAGCCCAAACCGAAGCCCTTAATCGTCAGGTCCGACCCCTACCTGATCACGTCCTTCCTACTTGATGGGATGTCTCTGAGCGCCCTGGCCCAGAAAGCTGCTTTGCCGGGGTTTATTTACGATTCTGTGTTTGTATTGCTTCGTTCTTTGCGGTGCTTTTTCGGGTTTCATAGGCTTACAAATGATGTATGGGGGCTTTAAGGTTTGTACAGGGTGTTTACACATAGATCCCCAGCCTCATATAAAATGCATAAGAAAAGTGCGCAGCCGGATGGTCCTGCCTTCTTGTGTGCGACCATGTGCAGCTGTGCACATCACGAATGACAATGCGCAATTTAACAACTTAGCCCCGGTTTGTGCGCACGAGCTCAAGCTGAATCTAACAAACTTCGACTCTAGTCGAGCCGCGAAAGCCTTATCTTCTGACTTGTAGTTTTCACGAAGCTAAACGACGAGGGTTTGAGGCGCAGGGTCTAAACCGCCCTGATGCTTAAACCAAACGAGCCCCAAAGCCCGTGGCACCCAAACCCACGACCCGAACCCTAATCCCTAAACCCTAGTCCCTGGCCCCTAAAACCCTAAGCACTGATCCCTAAACCTTAAACCCCATATCCCCAAACCTGCACTTTCCCGAAAATGCCGAAGCCGATCCCTTGCAGGCGACCAGACAACCGGCGGCGGCAGGATCGAGGCATTCTGGGGTTCAGGGCTTCGGGGTTTAGAGCTCATAGAGAGGCCTTAATAATTACATACTTACTTTTTTCGGGGTTCCTTTAACGGGTTCCTTAAAGGGTGTCAATAAGGGATCTATAGTAGGGTTGTATGGTATAGGGGCCTAAATAAATACCTATACTATTTTGGCGGTCCCTTGTTGTAATTGCAGTATAATGGGCCCTAAAACCCAATTCTGCTCATAAAGGCCCCTACAATGCTCCAGTGCATTGTTTGCTTTTTTGGGGTGTTCATAGGTTTGGGGCTTTCTGTCTGCAGTGGGTCGCACATCATAATGAGGCCTTTGGGTTTTAGTGGTTCCCGAATAGGGTCAAGGCAGCAGCAGCGCAGCCGATGCCACAATGTTGATGTACCAGCGTCTTGAACACACATGAGCCCTAGAACAGGCCCCACAGAACACGATCCCTTGTGCAGTCTTAGAGCCTGCAGAAGGAAGGCAAGCACGAACGATCATATCCTACCTTGCACCGTAAACGTTAAGAAAAGGGCTGACAAGCAGCAACAGTAGCTTCGTCAGCACTCATAATGACTCCCCATCAACAACCCTACACCCTTCGTCCTCCGACCTGTAGGAAGAACTCCTCCCTAAACCCTAAACCCCGAACCCGAACCCTAAACCCTAGACTAGACCGAAACCCTAGACCCTAAACCTGAAACCCGAGGTTGACTTTATCGACTTCAGTGGCCCCGCCTTCCCGAAAGAGTCTGTGGACGTTCCTCGGCCGAGAGGAGAAAGGACAGCGACGCGTAGAGGTGTTCTGTTGTGGCTTTCGGTTGTAGGGTGCGGGGTTCGTTTGTGGGGAGGTGGGTTTGGGGAGGGGGGAAATAGGGGTTGGAGTTGGGGGTGTTGCCCCTTTGGGTTCAAGCGATGAGGGTTTAAGGCAAGCAGGCTTGTGGCTGCAGTTTTCGTTGTGCGGGGCCCGGGCTTCTTGGATGCACTGCGCCAACATCGTGAGCCTTCAGCCCAAGAGTATACACCGCACCGGATCTTCTGACAGATAGCGTGAGAGGCGCCCTCCTCATACTAGACTCAAGGCTCGTATTGGCCGAAACATCCAGTGACCAGGCCAGGTGTACCCAAAGCAACTGCTTGGCCAAAAAGCTCAAGATCTGCAACACTGAAACCTCTCCCACATTGAACTCTTTGAATCCCCTTAACCCAGAGCTTGAACCTTCCGAAAGAAAGCATATGTTCAGGGCCCGGAGCCCCAGCTCCTCCCCGGTATCTGAGGCATCCAACAACACCAGGCACATGCATCCCCGAGCCTTATTGAAGTTTCACGACTTTAGCCCTTTTCCAGCCTTGAGGCCCCCTTTTTCGACAGCCTTTCATGCAGGGAAGAGGAGAATGATGGCATGGCCATGAGAGCAGCAAGGATAGGAGCCAGCAGGCATCGAAGCAGCACTGACAATCTTGCAATCATGGTAGTGGTCATACATAACGGTATAACGACCAGGAAATGTGCATGAATTTGTGCCCTGTTATGATAAATATCATAATCATGGCGATGATAATTAATGATAGCAACCATTGCAAGAGCATGGAGAAGAAAAGGAGCAGTCACCCCAAAGCCCTAAACCCGAAATGCACTAATGCCTTTCCAGGCGCGGCTCCTAGCCTTCCGCATGGTGCAGCTGCGCATCGCCAACGGGGTGCGGGGAAGAGCTCTGGGGTGCAGGGGCTCGGATGTGAGCCTTACTAAAGGGCCATTACCAAAACTAGTTCGGTGGTTCCCTATTACCTGCAGCGCGGGACGCTTCTACGAGGTGTGTGAATGAATGAATGACTCTCTGTTTGAATTATAGTATAATGGGACCCGAAACCCCATTCTATTTATTAAGGTCCCTATATTCCAGAACCCGACTGTAGATCCTTTATAGACCCCTTTAAGGAACCCTTTAAAGGAACCCTATTCTAAGTATTAAGGCCCAAAAAAAAATATTTCGCTCTCCCGGCCCCTCGGATCTGAGTAGTAAAGGGCTGAACCCCAAGCTGCCCTAATCTAGGATGCCCAGTAGTACCCTTATTCCCTTTTTGTAGTCCTAGGTTCCTTATAAAGTTACCCAATACCAAAAAGAGAGGCCCTTTTTATTCTTAGGTTACTGGGTATCCTAGTAATGTAGGAGCCGGATTAAGAAACCTTGGGCCTTTATTAGGGTTCCTTATAAAGGGGCCCAGGGCTCCTTAATCAGGTTCCTACATTGGATCCAGATGTGAACCAAAAAGCCACTGAACCCCAGCCCCAAAAGCCCCCAAACCCCGAGCCCTGACCGATTAAGTACCCTCAAACCCAGAAAGTCCAAAACACTAAGCTCTAAACCCTAAGCCCTAAACCTATACCCTGAGCCCGATTCCTCAAACCCATAAACTCCAAACTCGACAACCCTAAACCCTAACCCTCAAACCCACAACTCCTACACGGTAGGTCCTCATGGAGCTCAAACTATACCTTAAACCCTAAACCCTACACCCTTACCCCTAAACCCCTAAACGGGAGGTCCTCATGGAGCCCAGCTCTGATGGCTACAAGATGGTGGTGCCCAACAACGCGCTTTACAAGCGCCCGGCGTTCTGGCTCTCACGGTTTAGGGTTAAGGGTTTAGGGTTTAGGGTTCAGTTTGGGCTTCGAATTTCGGGGTTGAAGGGTTTGAAGCAAAAACCCCTGTCGGGGATCGGGGGGGGGGTGGGGTTCTAGCGTTGTGGAGGTATAGGGTGGGCTCACGCGCTTCTTGGATTAGCTTTCAGGGTCATGTGGCCTGCAAATGCAACACAGCAATTCCGAACTTGCTCGCTAGCAGTCACTACATGACGACTTAACGGATCATGGGGCTTAGTAACTAGGGTTATACGTACTTTTTTTTTACCTCACTTACTAAGTCCCATGATCCTTTAAGTACTGATTCGTCCAATGAGTGTTCGGGGTCCCGGCTATTCATAGCTCCGCCTGTTGAAGCCTTGCCCCTGTCTGATGCCCCAACGCTGTAAATCTGATCGAGGGACCTCAGAACCCTGAGCCCTAAGAAGGAATTGAGAAATTTCCTCGTGCTTCGAGATTGAGGAGACCTGAAGCCTCGAAATTTCGCATTCAGACCATTAACCCTCGCCCTAAACCCTAAGGCCCTAAGTTAACCCCTAAACCTTCACCCCCTGAATCCAGAACCTCAGATCCATGTCCTTATTTCAAGCGACAGCCGAGGTTATTGTGGAGCGGTCCCGCTTCAAGCCCTGCACGAGCATGCACACAGAGGTCATCGAGGCCTCGTTTTCACGATGCTTAGATCGAGATGCAGTTGAGGGGTTGTGGTTTCTTGGATAAACATATAGAAGTACATGCATGTATACTCACACGCTGTTCAAACTTGTGATGGTTGCAACGTTACTCTCGGTTACTTGCATCAGTGATGCATGATCTCGAAGAGGTTTGTTGCTATGATGGTACCGGTGACGGCAATGATGACGATCAGGGGAGTGGCGACAGCAAAGACGATCATGCAGGTGACAATCTCGCGGATGGAGTGGTGACTCGATAGTAAGGGTTGTGACAATTATGATGATGGCGCAGCATTGATGAGAATGCTTCTGAGGCAGGAATCTTGCAGTAGCAGATTTTGTTGCACTCATGGCACCAAGAATATGAGTCTGGAAGAGTTGCAGCAATTGCCAAGGAAGCATTGTTGGACAGTTATGTGCGCTGCAGTGGTGTATCACATTCGCATAAGCATTGTCATTCGTGGTGGTGCTGCTAGTAGCAAGTGTAGTGCGTCGTCGCCTTGTGGTGGTCATTGTCGTTGTCGTGGCCGTGGCCGTTGCCCCGGCCGTGGTCGTAGTCGCCCCGGCTTGTTCTCATGGTTATATTCTCAACCGGCATATCTGTACCATTAGCGTTTCGATGGCTATGGCGGCTATGGCTTGCTTCGGTTGTTACTCCTGATATTAGCACTACTATTTCGTCTACCCGCCAGCACCCTGTTTTCTTAATTTGCTACTCTTGCTGATCTCTTTGGTACTACCGATCTGTGACTTGTGGGCAGACGGCCGCGCGACGGCTGAAGGAGGAGCAGACGGAGGGCAACTGGGCCACCAACAGTAGCAGTTCTTCTGTTTTCTTCTTTCAGTTTAGGGTCTCAGGTCTTAGGGTTCGTAGGCTCGTCTGTAAGGTTTTGTTTTGCTTTGGAGATTGGGGTTTGGGATTTTCGGATGTTGATGTGTGTTAGGTTTGAGGGCATCATAAGCCTGACAGCTGTCGGGCCAAAACCGAATTGCCTGCGCAGCTGCCCCGAATGCTCCGCAAGCCGCATGCTGCTCGTCACGCACACACACAGAGATCCTTTGGCAAACCTTCTGCAAGGCTGCAGTTTATACAGCCTGAACTTGATCGATAAAAAAACACTGCAAGGCAGTCACTCCTCTCCTTGACTTGAAGACCTCAAACCCCAAACCGAGCCCCTGGACCTTATACATTAAATCTTGAATCCGAAACCGCCAACCCTAAATCTTAAACCCCAGACCCTCTAAAGCCTCAAACCTCCGACTTTGACCCCAAGGCAAGGATCCCATGAAAATCCTGAACGTGCAGCACCTTGGTGGGCTTTGGGCTTTAGGGCGCTTTCGGGGACTTTAGGGTCTTTTGGGGCCTTTACGGCTTTTGGGTTTGGGTGTAGGTTATTCGGTGTTCGGATGGGTTTTTAGCGTCTTTTGGGGGTCTTTCGAGTTTTAAGGTTTTGGTGTCATCAGGGTTTGCTTTTTGTCGCGCAGCTCGAAACCCCCGTATACCAAACCCATGATCGTATTCAGCAGTACTGAGGGAAGGAATGGTGACAGTGGTTTTAGCTGTGAAGCTTGGACCTGTCCCAAACTTTCTACCCCAAAATCAATTCAACTACTCTCAGAAGGGTTGGGGAACGCGCCTTCACCCACCGGCAGCGGTGCACCGGGGATTCCTTTAGGGTTCAGGGTTTAGTTTTTAGGGTTTAGGGTTTAATTTTTAGGGTTTAGGGTTTGAGATGCAGCTCCTGCTCCAAGGATGATCGCCCAGAGACTATGCCCCAAAGCCTGAACTTAGGGGTACTTAGAAATATTTTTTTAGTTTTTGGTTATTAGGATCCCTAAGAAACAGCTAAAAATATGATTTTTGCTAGGGTTCTAAGTTCAGTATAGTGAAGCTTTTGCCCCATGTTTAAAAGCAAGCAGACCCCAACCCTACAAACCCTAACCCCTAAACAGACACCCCAGGAGCCGTCTGAACCTAAGTGCAGAGATTTCCTTCTTCTCAAAGGATCGATGACATCACCGCGCCAGTCGCCAAGGAGGTGATCCCACAGCGCATGCAGAACATGAGACTTGGTTGACATTCCAGTGGCTTGTGGCTTTGGCGTCTTAGTTTAGAAGGTTGAGGTGTGTTCGTTTAAGTTCAAGAACCTGTGCCCCAAGCCCCCCGGGCGCTGATCCTTTTTCCCCACCTCTATGCAGCCTGGAAAGCAGCCCTTACACAAAGGCCGCAGAACTATGCTCGCAACAGCACTCACCGGAACAGCAACCAATCCGCGCAAGAAGTAGTACCGACGATAGCATTGTGTTGCATGTTTTTCAATGTTGCGACACGCATACTAGTACTTACGACGAGCATTACCACGCATCGCGAAAGTAATGGTCATTGTGCTGAGAACACCAACAGTGCGAGCAGCATTCTTCTCGTTACTGGTCGTAGTTCTGCTGACAAAGCAATACTAAGCTGATGAGGACCCTAAACCTAGACCTTAAACCCTAAAGCCCCTAAACCCTGAACCTTAAACCCTAAACCTGAAACCCTAAAGCTCCGAAACCTTACCCCAAACCCTAAACCTCAAACCTTAAAGCGCCTGCACCTCAAACCCTAAACCGAGCCATTCAGAAGCTGAGGAGGAAGCTCGCAAGCGACGAGGATCTCGGCTCCTCGGTGAGTTCTTTTGGACCAGATTTTGGGAGGATCTAGAAAGTAGATCCTGAAATTTGGGGACCCTATACTACTAAGGGTAATTTATAGGAACCCCCATGAAGGGGGTCCATACGAATCCAACGTGTCTGCATCGTTCCTTTGTCCGCTTCAGATGGCGCTCGAAGGTTGTGCCAGCTTTACTTAATCTCGGGTTTGCCGTGGTCGCAGCGCCCCGAAGCTGCTCAAACCGCAAAACCACCTAGCCAAAATTTTGAAACTACTACGTAACATCACCGCCCGAAGCAAGCTGCTCAAGCCCCCAAACCCAACTAACAAAAATCTTGAAAGTTCTATGTGAAATGTCCAAAATGCTTAACCCACCTTCAGCTCGCCGCCATCAAGGCTCTCCCAAAGCCGTGCATACCCTGAAAGTGCAGAGTCCCCCTGAACCTGAATAACCTGCAGAACCGCAAACTCTCACCAAACCCTAAAGCCTACACCCCAAACTCTCACCACTAGGCGGCACCCTGAGCCTTGATGATTTCGGCGCTATGGTTGGGGACCGCCTCAGTGAGGACCCCTCAGTTCTGATTCTGTTCGGGTTTGTGTGGCTTTGGGGGGGTCTGAGGCTTTCAGGTTGCTCATTACACGCGAGATTTGAGGGCTTCGGGTTGAGGATGTCTTGCTGGTGAGCGTGAGCTCTAGTCGCCAAGTCTAGGTTTATGAACATGCTGCTTGTTGTCAGTGGTGTTCTTGTTGATTAGGCTGTCAACTTGTACTGGGCATACTTTCTCATACAACCATACTATACAAACCCATCAATCCCCCTCTCCATCCATCGATCCCTCCCTCCATCCCTCCATCCCTCCATCCCTCCATCCATACATACACCCTTGCGCATGCAAACAAAACCGCCAACCTGCCATCAGCATCATCATCGTCATCATCTTCATCTTCAGCTTCATAGTCATCGCCATCGTCATTGTCGTCATCACCATCATCGCCGCCAACACCATCATCACCACCATCACCATCGCCATCATCATCATCTTCATCATCATCAACATCATCACCATCAACATCATCACCATCATCATCATCGTCATCATCATTGTCACCATCATCATCATCATCATCAACATCATCATCATCGGTGATGACAATGATTCCTCTAAACCCCAAGCCCCGACCTCGACCTGGAAGAACGCCAAACCCGAAGCCGCCAACCCCTAAGCCCCAATGCCATGCCCCTGAAACACTGCAGTGAACCTGGTGATGATCTGGATGTAGTTGAGAGCCGACTGCGGGCAGACGTAAAAGTCAACTCAACTTTAAATATGAAAAAAGAAACCCGAAAGCAACGGTACGCAGGAAGAGGTCCACACAATCTTCAACCAGCTGTCCGGCGGAGCGGGAGAGGCTTCCGTGGATGCGGCTGAGCAGCAGAGGCGAAGTTTGCCGCTTTAGGGGTTGGGGTGTAGGGTTGAGGGTTTACATGCAAGACCCGAAGTCCCGCCAAAGCTCATGAAAGCCATGTTCCCAACTGAGGCCCTCTAGCATCCACTTATGAGCGCTGGTGAGCTTCGGAATGAGAAAGGCATGTAGGGACCGCCCGAGGTTGCCGTAAATTCGAACAACCTCGGCTGGGTGTCTATGAATCCTGAATACTTACCTTCGAGCTTGAGGCTGTCCCGGTCCGGTGAATTGGAATTTGAGTTGGCGTCTGCCCTTCCAACCTCAAGGCTTTCAAGACAAGCCACAGAGGTTCCAATTCGAAGCCAACGTTGTGAAAGGTTCTGCAAACCAGACACCCGACACCTGCGCCCCAAATTCCGAAGCCACCCTAAAGTCCGAAGCGCGAAATCCCAAGCGCTAAAGCCTAAACCCTAAAGTGTGAAGTCCTGCACCTACGGAGTCCACCAAGGCCTTGTTGAACCTCACATCAGATGAGAGGAGCTCCTCCGACGCACGAGCCGGGGCGAAGGTCTGTAAGTGGCAAAGGCAAGTTGGATTTTGTTTGTTGAATTGTGTTTTGTCTGTTCTGATCAGGTTTCTGTGGGTGAAACCCAACCCTCCAAAGCCCAAGCCCCAAAGCTCAACGCCGCAAGGCGATACCCTGCAGGCCCTGCAGCCCTGAATGTTATTGGTTTCAGAACAGTTGTGAAGAGTTTTGTCGAGGGCGTCGCATTGAGGGTGGAGTGCCAGACCCGACTCATCCGAAACGGCAAGGTATTCTGGCGACCGACTTCCTGCAACGCTTCGAGATGCTCGAGACTCTGAAGTACCCCGTGCTGGTCTCGAACATCCAGAGGACCAGCGTGTCTTTTTCTGAGGGCCTAGTTCATCCTGCGAGGGCCCCTCTCCATTTTTTTGGAGCCGGGATGGATTGTGCTCAGGTGACGTAGGATGCATCTAGCGTGAAGTTTGGGTGCGCCTAGTTTGCAGCAGGAGAGGAGAAGTTCGGGGGGCCGCGTAGCCGTGAGCAAAGCTTTCCCACTCAGGGGTTTAGGATTTAGGGTTGGTTTCAGGGGTCCCAAACTTCATGGTGCAAGTGCAGAAACGTGCAGGTGGAATGCCTCCAATTTAGGGTCCCTGTGGGAAGAGGTGCTTGAAGTGCGTCAAGTTGGGCTTGGGATAGCCCTTGCCAGAGTTATCTCAGCCAGTGGGGCCGGAGGGGCGGTAGACGCGAACTTAGGCCACTCATCGTGAACACGTGTCTTAGATTCGCCCAGGACCCACCAGTTGGTCCGCTACTTGAGCCGGTACACGAACCAGAACGTCATCATCGCGGCTGCGCTGCTGCAAGTGCTGGGCTGCTCTGGAGTCTCATGGGGTTGTGGAGAAGCGTCTTTTCCTCTGACCTCCTGGGGCGGTTTCTGGCCCCTTTAGATAGAGAGTCAGAGGTGTGGGGGAAATTCCTGGAGCTTTGTGAGCCTTCAAGGCTTTCAGCCCCGTGGACCTAAAGCTTAGAGCCAGTAAACCCTAAACCTGTCAACCCTTAACCTTAGGCTCCATACTTTCCCGTGCTGTCGTGGGCAAGACCCACGCATGGCCTTTGTTCTAATCCTCAGGGCACCCATGGCCCTCAAGCCTTGTAGATGCAGAACAGCCTAGGCCCAGGCCCCGGGAAGCCTTTCATTTTAACAGCAAGCTCTTAAGCCGTATTCATTGCGCGAATATACCATATGGCGCAGTGTTTAGCATTTCGTCCACCAGCTCTGCCACCGGAATCCTAGAACCCCAGCCCTAAAGCCCGAAGGCCTTGAAGTCCTAAACCTTGGAACCCTAGAGTCGTGAACCCTAACTGGACCGTTACAGTATCCTTTCGGACCCCTTATGAACCCTTAGGAACCCCCAAAAGCTCTACGATTCTTCGAGGTTGGCGGAGGCGGCTACTCCCTGAAGCGGGCCCTCTTCAACCCGGAGAGCTACGCCAACTCCGAGGCGCGCCCTCGCATTCTTGGGCGGCCCAAGGGTTGGCCTAAAGCCGAAGTACCGAAGCGTAGAGCCCTACTTGGAGGATCATGGGACTTAGTAAGTATGGTTATGAATACCTGAATTGGGGTTATAAGTATAGTTACCTTAATAACAACTGCAATTAATAAGTCCCATGATCCTTTAAGTAGAGCCCCAGACTCCGAATTCAAGATTCAAGGCTCGACATGCTGAACGGGCCTCGGGTTGCGTCGTATTGTAAAGAGCCCGGCTGTCAGTGCTAGAACCACATCTGGCGGTGATTACTGATTCAGGGTTCACCTGAACACTTTACCTGTTGAAGATGAGGCTGCAACAACAAAAGTCCCATGAAATACAGGGAGGCGTCCGAAACCAAAATCGCAAAGTCTTGAACCTCATAAGCAGGTTCTCCATGGCGCATCCGGATTCGAACACCTGAGTGAAATCCCAAGCCCCGAGTTGCTGGCCCTATCCTTGAAGCGCAAACCTTAAACCCTAAACCCCAATGCCCAAGACCCAAAACCCCAATCCACAAGCCATCCCCAAGCCTTCCCAAAGGGTGGGATGTTGGCGGCCTTTGGAAGCCTCTTCCAGAATGGATGCTCCGCCGCACGCAGGGGGAGGACTGTGAGGCGTGTCTATAAGGGTCCTGTGAGGACGTCATGAAGGTTCTATATCAGGATTTTGGAATGGGCTTACGGGGTTCTGTGAGGCTGCCAGAAGGGTTTTGCTACAAGGGAAGGAGTTTATGACGGCTGTATAAGGGTTTTGCACGGGTTCTAAAGCTTGAGGCTGAAGGGTCTACTTTGGGGGTTTTGGGTTCTTTGTTTCGGGGTTCTTGGTACTATCATCCGGATCGTTTTTGGCTTTCGCATGAATTACGGCGGGTACCATGATTAATGCTGTTGAAAACGCAAAAAGTACGACTTTTGTGTGAGTGTGGGGGATGTGCGTGAGCTTCTAGCCAGCATTGGTCCCCGGGCCAAGGAAAGACGAGGATCTTCACGTACCCGAGCGTCGATGACGAAGGCAACGTGAACCCTGCGTCGGTGCCGTCCGACGACGAGCAGAAGCTCTACGAGTACTTGGAGTCGAAAGGCTCGAAACCCTCAACCCTAAACCCCTAAACCCCCAACCCCCTAAACCCCTAACCCCCTAACCCCCCTAAGCCCCTAAACCCCTAAACCCCTAAACCCCTACACCCTAAACCCCTAAACCTCTAAACCTCTAAACCTCTGAACCCTAAACCCCTAAACCGGCCCAGTTTCGTGGGGTGTTTAATCATGCCTGCAGGCTGTTTTGGAAGGGGAATGTTTGGAGTTGGAGACGGTGGAGGGTTTGGGATGTTTAGGGTTTCAGGAAAGGCTTACTGTAAGTTTTGAGATAAAGAACCTCCAAGTTCGTGAGTTAGCATACTGGCTTCGGGCTGCAGGGCTTGGCGAGCCTGACCCCCTCCACCCGAAGCCCGGAAGAGGGGTTCGAGATCAGGGTTGAAAATGCAAGGTCGCAGGGAGAGTTCGATGGAGGGTTGAGGGCTTAGAGTTCATTGCTTCGGGACGGGGCTTGAGGACCCACTGGAGGCTTAAATCTGTAGTGCAAGGGGCTTTGGAGTGCATGGTTCAGACCTCTACCGTTCTCAGCGTAGAGTTGTCGGTTTTGGAGCTTTGGGTTTGAGGACCTCAGGGTTTTGAGTTTAGATTTCAGGACGTCGAAGAGCGTCCCTTCCGGGATCTTGGGGCCCCAAACCGTGCAGGGCCCCTTTACGCCCCGTACCCAAACTCCCGGAAACATCCAAAAAGTAGATCCCTTAATGGGGGGTTCTATAAAGTATCCCTAGTAGCATAGGGCCCCAAATTCGGGGATCTACTTTCTAGATTCTTCTCTGGGGTCTGGGTAAGCTTGAATCCTGGACCGAAGAGATGGGAGATTCAGCCTCACCCTTGCAGGCTACATCCAGCCGCTCACCTCCGCCTACCTCAGTGCCGAGGCGGCTCCGCGTTCGTGCGGACAGGTACTATAGGCTATAGGGACCTAAATACTTCCCAAAACCATTTTGGGGTTTCCTTCTTATCATTACAGTATAGTATCCCACAAAACCCTATTCTAATTATTATGTAAGTCCCCTTTGGTAGCCGTTGTAAGCCTTGAGCAAACCAAGCAGGTCCAGGTTTGCTGCTTCTCGCAGTGCCTTGGCGTCCGAAACTCGATTCCACCATCCACAAACCCGGCTTCCAAGCCCGAAGATATGGGAGGTGAGGCAGAAAGACTTCACCTAACGCTAAACTAAACGGAACCGCAAGTAATCCCTAACATCTTGAAAGCCATAGAAGGACAGGCTAAACCCATCTGTAGGTCCTAACCCCAAACCTAAGCAAAATCCGTTAGGGAGTTCTGGAGCCCTTCTTATGACCCACAAACACTCTCTGGTGCTTAGTAGGGAATGCGGGAATGGATCCCTGTACCAAGACATCCCCAAGACCCCTTACAGTACCCTTATAGAACCCTTATAGGACCCTTTAAAGGAACCCTTAAAGGAACCCTGTTCCCTACTAAGAACCAGACAGAAAATGCGCGTTGGAGGCCCGAGATCCGCAAACAAATCAGGCCTTCACCATGGGAGCTGCCACTTGGCGGCTCTCAGGGGGGGGGTGTCAGTGTGGAGCCAGGGATGTATGCAGTGCATATGGGTGCATCTTGGGGTGGTGTAGGGGGCTCTTAGGGTAATGTGCAGGGTTTGGTACGGTATTTGATGTCTTAAGGAAGGGGTTTGTAGGGTTGTGTAGTGACTGTGGTGGTTGCTGTGGCCGTCCTACGAGGGTTGTGCAAGGGTTATTTAAGGGTTTTATATGTTTACTTAGCCTAGGCCCCTGGCTAGTAACCACTGTTGTTTTCGGGGAGAGAACCAGAACCAAACAGACTGGCGATGCCAAGAAAGTAAACGCATGTGAGACAACATGCAGGCCTCCATCCTTCATAGCAGCGTTCCTAAGCCTAGCCTGACGCGTGCAACCTTAAACCCATGAGCCCATGCGCTAAACTCCCGCCACTCCCAGCCCTGAACCTCTGAGCGTGAGCAATGCTCCGACTCCCCTAAACCCCAGCCCGTCCATTCCAGAGACATATCTGAAGCTGCGAAGCATCATTGGTCGAACCTGAGGCAGAGGTTGGCGAGCTGATCCAGAAGGACCCAAGTTCGCGATATCCTGAAATTGCTGTCTATGTATGCCCACATGTGAATGTGGGCCGAGAAAGTCCTAATTACATATATTCACATGTATACACACATATAACAGCATAGATAGGTAGATGTACCTTTACACAGAATAGCGCAAGTTTGTGTAACGAGCCAAAATACCTGTATCGTGATATCTGTATAAGTATACCTGTATATATATGTATATATGTATATATATATGTCATGTAGTGTTACTTGTTCTATAACTGTATGTGCATCTATGTACGGACGTCACGAGGCATGCGCAGACCAACTACAGCATACGTAGTTTAGTAATGACAGTGATATCCTCAGAGCTTCTTGCCATCCTCATAGTATTGGACTTGGTTTGTTCGGATCGCTATGTTGCCTCTTTTGTTTGTTGATTGCCGTTGCGACCACTGCCATTGCAGTACATACATGCTCGTAGAAAAACGCAAGAATCCTGAAACACGGCGGCCCTAAACCCTAAACCAGAAAGCATGAAAGATCTTAAGCCTTTAGCCGGCCCACCAGGATGCATCGAACTCCGATTGGGTTGCTTGGCGTGTTACGCTTCCGTCTCTTGGGTTGGATGTTCAGGTCTGATTCAAGGTTTCGGGCTTTCGGGATCCTCTTCCTTGCATCCTGAACCCAGGCCCTGACCTGGGTGTGCTTATTCTGGCATGGGGGGTACTTCGGGGCACGTTGTATGCTGCACTGTTGTGTTGGACTTGGGACCTGAAACCCTAATCTTCGTGTCGGGCTCCTGGCTGCGGGGATGGTCATGTGTTTCATGGCTGCTGCTACCAGTGCTAGAGCCATGATTTGCAGAACCGCTGGCTTCCAGCATCAGTGCGTTTGCCACCGCCGTGAAGCCGGCTACCAGCACTGGCATCATCATCGTTATATCATCGTCATAATCATCATAAACAGTAACAACAAGGATCATCGTCATCATCGTCATGTCTGAAACCAGCAAGTCCTTCGGAACAACCAGTCATCGTGTTCCCAAATAGTTCCTCTATACTTGCACCATAAACACACCCGAAAACCGTGTATTCAAATCATGGAGACACCTGAATAAAGCCCTTGACAACCATCAACGACAGGAAAAATTCGTCCCGGCCGGCGTGGCGAGCACCTGCATATCGCACAGGTCCAGCGGTGCCGAGTTGAGGCTTAATATAGGGGCCTTAATAACTATCTACACTATGTTGGTGGTTCCTTATTGTATGGATAGTATAGTGGGCCCCAAAACCCTATTCTAATTATGAAGGCCCCTACATTAGGTGAGCCCACACTGCTAATTCCTGTGACTCGAGGTCCATGGTAAAGGGGTTACCTTGAGTCACAACTGGCTTTTTCAGAGTGCGATGTCCCCACAGATAGGCTCTGAACCACAGGACTCCTGATTCTAAGAGGCCCTCCAACCCTGAACCCTAAACCCTGCAGTTTTCAGACCCTGCAAGCCCCACTTGGAGGTTCATGGCTAGTGATAAGTGGGGTTATAAGTAGGGTAACTATACTTGTAACCCATATTAGGGAGCTTATAACCCCACTTATAACTACCCACGAACCTCCAAGCACTTCATGCTTCATGAGTTCCATTCGGGCCACCCGCGTTTCTGAGGGGCGTTCCTTCGGAGAGGTTCTCGGTAGCTCTCAACTTTTGAAGAGAGGCGCTCAGGGTGTTTGGAGGCGCCTTACGGTGTAGTTACAACTTACAACTGAATTAAGTAATATAGGGGCTTAAATAAGTACCTATATTGTCTTGGGGGCTCCTTAATTAAGGCCTCTACACTAGGTTCTTTCGAGCATGCTTGCTTTCGTAGCGGTTCACACACGCATGATCCTTCATGCAGTCCTAAGGGCTGGAATAACCGAACGGACCACTTCGGAAGAGCAACACCCTAAACCCTAGAACCTAGAACCCTAAACCTTCAACCTGGAGCAGTTTACTTGGAGGTTCATGGCTACTTATAAGTGGGGTTATAAGTAGGGTAGCTATACTTATAAACCATATTCGGGGACTTAGAACCCCACTTATGACTACCCATGAGCCTCCAAGTAGGCGCTAAACCCTATACCTCTATAGAATCCCTATAGATCCCTTTAAAGGGGCCCTTAAAGGAACCCTTATAACTACCCATGAGCCTCCAAGTAGAGGTTGAGATCCCGAAGTCCTATTTCCGAAGCTCTACGCCCCAAGCCCCGAATCTCAACCTCCGCCCAAAGGCTCTGTTTCGGGGCTTTAGGGGCTTTATTTAGGTTTGAGACTGAGGGATTTTGGGCCAGGGTCTCGTTCTGGGCCAGTTTTGGATTTTTTTGGGGGCCTAGGTTCGGGGTGTGAAATGAGAGTTTAGGATTTCGCACATTTTGGTGAGGGCAGCGCTGTTTCGTGGCCTTCTCAGGTGGTTCGACCGGCTGACATCGGGGAAGACGCTTTCGAAAGATGCGTACAAGGTCTTGAACGACCTCTGAGGCGGCGGGACCACATCGATTAACTACTGCAATCGGACTTTGAACCGGGCTTTATCCGAGTCATATTTAAGGAGGTGTATGAATTCTTTGGCTAGGAATACGTGCAATCGTAGCTCTAGCTACGTACTTCGTGCCATGCTTTATTGCGATGTATGATGATCCTTAGACAGCTTGGGAGGCTTAGGACGTGTTTTTGGGAGTTTGGGACGGGAGCGGTCCCTCATGGGCACCGTACCAGATCTGGAGCATTTCTCCGCGAAGGAGCCAAATTTTTGAAGGCTCCTTCGCCCCTCCGGGGCCCCAGAAAGGGAGGAAGGAAGAGCGGGATGCCCCACATAGCCTGGAGCCTGACTAAGACGGCCCCTCTTATGCTCTTCTTTTTGTGACGTTTTGAGTGGCTTTGGACTTTGCTTCCGTCAGGCTTTCACAGATGCATAAACCGTGTTCGTGATTCAGGTGGATGGCTCTTGTAAACTGCGCAGACACTTCGCAATACTTTTACACCCGAAGCCGCCCGAGCCCCACACCTCAGACCCTACACTCGCAACTGTAGACCTTGAACCCCAAACCTAAACGCCAAACTCAACTAGCACCCCAAACCCTAATGCCTAAGCCCTAAACCCTGAACCATAAACCCCAAAGCTAGACCCCAACCCTAACCCTGAACCCGGGTCCGCGCTTCCTCTTTTTTTGGGAGCTGTGCTCCCGGTCTCCGCTGGGATCCCTTTAGCCCCGCGCGCCGAGGCTCGTCGTGGTGGTCGTAGGGACATAAGTTGGGCTTGCCAGTTAGAAGTAGGGCAAACGCGGCAACTGCTCTTGTCCCATAGTCGCGGTACCATGCGGTACCTATAGAGGCTTGCCTATGTGCCCATGTGCCTTCAATCATATCATCAAAGCAGCGTGGGGGTGCATCCGCGGGAGGCTAGGGGACAGAGACCGCCCTCACCAGCATGATTCCCAAAAAGGGCGCAGGGGGGTTGGGTTGGGATTCAAGGGTTTACGGTTTCAGGCTAGGGTTTCGGATGCCACTCCCAAAGCCCTGAACCCTAGACTCCCACGACTCCGTAACCAAACCCTACGCCCTAAACCCCAAATTACTCAAAGCCCAAACCCTAAACCCCAAAATGCTCAAAGCCCACACCCTAAACCCCCAATTACCCAAAGCCTAAATCCCAAACCCCAAACCCCTATACGGCTCATGCTTTGAGCCTCGAGCAGCGAAACTCCCCCAATCTAGGAGTTTGAAATAATAGTCAATACGTTTTTGTTGGGTTCCTTTCACGGGGTCTATAAAAGCTGCTATAAGTTGCTGTTAGAAAGATTCAGGATAGGGGCCGAAATAATTATCAATACTATTTTGGGGGTTCCTTTAAAGGGGTAAATATATAAGAGCTATTATAGGGGATCAGTCTAGGGGCCGAGATAATCATCAAGCGATTACAGTTTGGGGTTCTGAGGTTTGGGGATTAGGGTTTGGTGTTTAGGGATTAGGGTTCTGAGGTTTGGGGATTAGGGATTCGGGTTTGGGGATTAGGGTGTGGGGTTTGCGTTTTTTTGGCTTAGTGTTGAAGGTTTAGGGTTTAGGGTTTATGGATAAAGTAAAAGCCAGAAAGTTGGAATATGATTATCCTAAACCCTTTATGGTAAATTATAAGGTATCCTACTCTGAAACCATATTCCAACTTCCTGGAGTTTCCTTTAAGGGGTTAGGGTTTTGAGTTTAGGGAGTCGGGCTTGGGTGTGTGAGGATCCGTGCTGTGGAGCTCGCGGGTCGTTTCGGAGACGAAGATAGGCCAGAAGAATCACCTAAGACGTCAGTTACCGTTAGTTTTCTTGAGATCGACATGAAAGCTAGAAGTCCGAAAAATCAGGTACACGTACTCTACGCGTAGAAACACTAAGTTCCTCAAACCTTGAACCCTCAACCCTGAACCTTCACCTCAACGCCTAAACCCTAAACCTTAAGCCCTAAACCCTCAAACCTCCAAACCTGTACCCTAAACCCTTAACTTTACACCCTAACTCCTACATCCCGAACGGTGCCCGCGACTTCTACCGGCTCAAGGCAGACCTCGGGCTTTTGGCTGTCCTTTTGCTGCTTAATGCAGGCTTTCAACAACTAGAATAGGCTTTGGGGTGCATGCTTCCCTATTTTGTATTTGTATACGGGGCTACAAGAGTTAATGGTAAAATGCGTATTTAGACAACCCTTACGCAAAAAGCCGCATCTAATGCTACTTTGGGCTTCGGTTCAGAGCTTCCTCCGGAAATCGTTGAGCTTGGTCGGGTTTATAGTGAACCATTAGTGCCGGGATTCTCCATACTTTACCTGAAGGGCATGGGGATAATGATGTTTCAACTTTATGGCCTCTACTAGGTTTATGGTAGCTTGGGCAGTGGTTCGTGGCACTGCGGCTTAGAGCATTCCGAGCGAAGAGCGAGCGTCCCGCTAACATGGCTTGGCCCTCGGAAGAACCAGCATTGGGGGTACTTGGAGGTTCATGGCTAATTTTTAGTGGGGTGACAACTAGGGTATCTGCTTATGACCCATATTAGGGGACTTATATCCCCACGTATTTCTACCCATGAACCTCCAAGTATGGAGGCTGAATGCAGGATCGGGCCCCTGCACTTGCCAACTATAGTTCTCAGAGCTGGGAACAGTAGCACCCAGCCGGCTGCAATCATGGTGGTGACAATGGTGGTGGCGGCAGTCATGGCAGCTACATGTGCTTTGCTTTTCTCTAAGTATTTCGTATTCTTTGGTGAGAGCCCCGTAGGTCACAAGATTGCACTGGACACTGAAGCAGCATCTGCTACCCATGAAGTGGTGCACTAAGGTTCGTGTTCCGCTTGTCACGACATTACTCTGGGCTCATTATTGTTATTGCTTCCTGAGTCCTGCACGCGCCTGACTCATGGCCTGTTTTCGATCACTAGCCGTTGCCTATGATTCGTTCTGCCGATCAATTGGTAGTCAATCTTCGCGCTGTGCAGTGGCAACAAGCCCAAATCCTATAACCCAACATTCGTGCATTTCTCTTATGCTCTATGAGGTGCGCTGCCGCAGCACGAAATTGAACTCAGTTTGCTTGGCTTGTCCAAACCTAACACTTTGGTTGCACGAGCAGGAACTGAAGCTGGTCCTTTGCACCTGACTGCTCATTACTGCTGATGCCCCTGATCCATAGTCCGACCGTGGCTATCAACTCGAATAATCTTGACATGCGAACATGTTGCCGGGTGGAGTGTGCATGCGTTCATGCCATGTTGCATCTGAACATTTTCAACGCAAAAGGATAGGCGGAAGCCAGTCGACTACAGTCGCCTGATAAGGTTTGCGTCGCGTGCCGTACTGGTTTGCAGGGTCTACTACTACTACTACTACATCTACTGCTGCTACTACTTCTTCTTCTACTACTACTATTGCTTCTACTACTACTACTACTACTACTACTACTACTACTACTACTACTACTACTACTACTACTACTACTACTACTACTACTACTACACATAAGCGTTTATGGATCGTTTGGCAGCAATGGCTTTTTGCCAAACCCAAACCCCAAATCGGGCCCAAACCCCAGACCTAACGGGTAAATCGAAGACACAGATACATATACATATATATATATATACACACATACATATACACATAATATATATATATATATATATATATATATATATATATGCAGGCATGTATTATACGTTTTTGTATACATATGTGCATACAAACACACGCACCGTAGACCTGTAAGCGTGAAGCTGAATGTGTTTATGTCTGAATTCCTGGATTCCTGTATGCATTCGTGCATCTGTGTTTGCATGCATGTATGTATGTATGCATGTATGTATGTGTGTGTCTCGCTCTCTCCCTCTCCCTCTCTCTCTATGTATATTCATATGATGCATAGATATGTAGAGTCCGGCCACTGGGCGTCTTGCCCACCGAGGACGAGACCTTGCTGGGATGGATCTTCCTGATACTCGGCATCGAACATGAAGGGGTCTGAATTGTTAGAAATAGTATTCACATGGCGCCCATAGCGATGGAAACATTGGCAATACTATTCCCCAGGTCTCCTAGATACATGTATAGTGTAATGAAGTATACCCAAAGCCCCCTTCAGTGTCGTGCAAAAGTACACTATCAAACAAGATATCAACCATGTCACCTGTAATTTTACAGCTAGCATGGTTCACTCGTCTAAAGCTTTAGGAAAGTTCCAGGGCTTGAGAAGCACAAGTTATCGGAGGTGAGGCGGTAAGAATCTAATATAGGGGCCTGAATAATTACTTGTACTATTTTGGGGGTTCCTCATTATTTTTAAAGTATAGTGGGCCCCAAACCCTATTCTAATCATTAAGGCCCCTACCATTTATAGTACCCTTATAGATCCCTTTATAGTAGCCCTTTTCAGACCCTTTAAAGGAACCCTATTCTAATTATTAAGGCCCCTACATTAAGTGTCAGCCTCCGAACATGTCAATGCGACAGCCCGCTCCGAGCTGGAGTGGGCTACTAAAAGGGTTACTACCATGGTTAAGGGTTTAGGGTTTAGGGGTTTAGGGTTTAGGGGTTTAGGGGTTTAGGGTTTAGGGTTTAGGGGTTTAGGGTCTAGGGGTTTGGGGTTTAGGTTTTCATGAGTAGACTCGGATTTCGGGGGTATACTATACTATGCTGTACTGGAAGCTAGGGATCCCTGGGACTGTTGTTGGTGATTATTGTTCATGCTTCTTTTAATTGCATAGCCCTTAATCACCCGAAAGTCTAAAACCCCACAGTGCGAAAAAAGGGAGCTCAGCCTGAACATTGGATTTGCTGGTTTATGACTTGGGGGATCGCGCAGCCCCCATCGCTTCCCTTGTTGTGAAGCTGTTTAGCCAGCTCAGCCTACGACCGCTGCGGGGCGTTTCAACCTTTGCGAAGCAGCCACTAGGGTGTTTTACGATTGCCATGGACAGCGCGTCTCTTGTGCAGTTTGCATCTGCGCTGCATAAACATGGCACCAAGACTCCTTCAGACAGTATTTCAGGCGACTTGTCCGACTTACTTAGTTTTCAGGGTTGTCGGTTTCAGGAGTTGCTGTATCGGCTATCGGATAGGAGTGTGTCAGCTAGGAGAAGAACGCCTGAAGCTTAGGCATCCACCCCTTCGTGATGTACACCGTACCTGCCGAAGCTTTCTTGCAGATGACAGAAGCCAAGATGCACGAGGAGCTCGCAGACGCCGGTGTGCTTTCAGAGTTTGATGAGAGCCTGGGAAAGGCAATGTTCGTGTCACACCAGTGGCTGAGCGACACCCATCCTGATCCAGATTTCCAGCAGTTGAAAGTTCTGCAGGATGCAATGAAGAATATCGTTGCCGGAACCAGCTCAATTTCTCAAGCTCTGTTCTCAGAAATTGTGTATGGTCGAAGAAGATGCCCTACACCGGCTGACTTCGCACCCAGCCATCTCCACATTTGGTATGGCTACTTTAGCATCCCACAGTGCAGCTGTCATGGCGCATCTCAGGTGCGCGAGAGTGCAATTCAAAGCATTCCAGCATACGTGGCGAGGTGCTTTTTTTTTGTCGTCCTGTGCCCGGCTTTGACTCACAGAGACCAGCAGCGGACTTTGAGCCATGCCACTTGGGGCGAAAGGGGGTAGCTGAGTTGCACTGGCATTTTTCGCCTTTGACGATACACTTCTTCGCGCCTAGGCCTAAGTCTTGCTGGTTCTTTATCCCGCAGCCCAGTCCAGGTGGTGTCGTACAGAGAGAGCTGCACGCGAACTCTCCACCCACAGAGGTGGATACGTCATTATTGTAGAGAGCGCCGCTCACCAGACGCTGCTGTGGGCAGGAAAAAGCATGAGGGATGCACCTGGTGAAGGAGAGTTTACGCTTGATGGTGACAGAGCGCGGATCGGCCGTCTGGTAACTCAGATGGTCTGGTCCAAGCTTTTCTACTACCTCGAGCATGGACAGTTTCACAACTACCGATTCCTTCTGAATGCACAAGCGGCGCAGTATTTCCGTTCTCTGGACGTGGAGCCCATTGACGGCCTTGTTCCGGGATTCCACACAGAAACCGACCCGAGTGTTGACTGCAAGGGCTTTATGCTGGAACGGTTCCTGCATCAGAATGGCTTCAGGAGCGTAAACACCCAAAGCATCCCAAATCCTTCAGCCACCTAAACCTGCGAAATTTACAACTCCCCGCTTGTCCTCGATTCGTGCTCCATCGTCAGGAGCATCTTCGAGCGGGACAGCGCAGGGTGGCCGCCCATTTGCTTCGCAGCGATGAGCAACAACGTCGTGGTGCTGCAAGCGCTTCTCGACCGAAAGGTGGATATCAACCAGGCTACGACCAAGCCCGCAGTGGAGGTCGGTCTTCCTGCTAAGCTGACGGATCTGGGAATAGCTTGCTTGCTTCGCAACGATGAAGCTCTCGAGCTGCTTCTGTGTGCCAGAGCCCACGTAAACAACAAGGATGGTTTTGGTGGCAATGCTCTCCATACGGCGTGCGTAGGGGACCATGCACGCGGAGTACGTCTACTCTGCCATGCTCGTGCCAACGTGAATCAGCAGGCCATGCCAGGAATGAGCCCTTTGATGATCTCGTGTGCATGCGCAAGTCGGCATGCCATGAAGGAGATGCTCAATCTGAATCCGGGTTTGAGCTTGCGACACGGCCTACACATCACACTCATGTTCGCTGGGGGTGGTTCTGCCGACTTGGTTTCCGTTTTGCTCGCTGCACGGGCGAATGTGAATGAACAGTTCCGAGTACAGATCCAGGAGCCGGGGTGGTGGCTTCTGATGAACGTCATGGGTGTGAGGCATCGGGTAAGCCCTTCCAGACTGACTCTGCTGGCTTATCATCGTTACGATGCGACGCCGCTGATGTTCAGCCTTCTGAGTGGTTCTCTTGATTCTGTGTCCACTCTGCTGTCAGCCCGAGCCCGAGTAGACATCCGAAATTACCGTAAGAAGACGGCATCCGATCTGGCACGCCAGATGCTCGCGCCGTCGTGGTTGATCGAGGCTTGCTCTACCAAAGGCGAGCCAGACGCTGAGGCCCTTGCCGAGAGCGACACGTTTTTCATTTGAGAGGTCTTGGCCGACGCCGAAGGCGTTCCCCGCCCAAGGTTCACGAGGTTATTATTGCCAGGTTTCAATTAAGTTTGAAGCTCTGTGAAGGCTGGGATGACGTGCTGTCTTCTCAGTTTGCTTCAGTCTGGGAACCTGCAGAAACTATGGAGCGGTGAAGCCTTACTTTCCGAACCTTTAGGTTTTTACAACATTCGGAGGGTCCCACACTTGTGATGCAACCACCGAGATCTGAAGATCGAGCACGGCGTCCTCACCAGCAAGACCTATTTCAATGAAGCTGATGTTAATCTAGGGGCCTAAATAATTACCAATGTCATTCAGGCGTTCCGTATTATAAGTTTAGTATATTGGGCCCCCAAAACCCGATTCTACTTACTAAGGCCCCTATAGAACCTCATTTCGCGAGTGCAAGGTGCCCTCACGGAGCCTGGTGCTTTTTCCTCCGTCAGGGAGCCTGGTGCTTCTTCCTCCGTGAACTCTGTCCAGCCTGCACACTGTGCGTGCGACGGCTGAAGAGCAAGTGGCGTCAACACGCACTGCAGGGTTGTCTGTGAGGAGTAAGTAGATACATGGTTACATGTACAGTATATGCGTTTACTTATGACCACCTACACAGTTTATGGGCCATGCCAATCTACATACATACCAAACATAGCAAAGTACAGTCAGCACAAGCATTGTCGGTGTCGTGATAAAATAGGTACACCGTCAGACAGTTATGCGTCATACCGCTTATAACTTTGCAGCAGTACATAAGAATTTGTAGCATGGTAAACCCTAAACCCTAAACCCCTAAACCCTAATCCCCCAGGCAGGTTCCAGGGCTGAGAAGGCCAAGGTATCGGAGGTGGGGCGAAAGTGTAAGCTTCCGATAATGTCAATGCAGCAGCCCATCCGGAACTCGAGGGATAAGGGCCACTATATAAGGTTTGTATACGGGTTAGCTAGAAATTTCAGCAGAAATCCTCACAGACCTTATTGAGAAGACTAGGATGTAGGAGGTATACTATAGTAGGCTATACTGGACAATCTGATCCCCTTGGACTAGTGTTGGTGACTACTCATGCCATGCTTGTAATGTGCAGTGGTTCCTTCCCAGCCCCTCACAGTCTAAACCCCAGGGTACGAAGAAAAAGCGCACCGCTTTTTGGTTGGATCTGCAGGGTTCACGGCTTTGGGCTTGCACAGCACCTCGGCGTCGCTTCCCTTGTTGTGATTTGCCAGTTTAGTCTTTGACCCGCTGCCAAGTGTTTCAACCTTTGCAGACCAGCCACTAGGGTGTTTTTCCAACTGCCATGGACAGCGCATCTCTTGTTGAGTTTGCATCGGCGCTGCACAAACATCGAGACAGTATTCCAGGCGACTTGTCAGACTTAGTGTTCTGGGTTGGCGGTTCACAGAAGATGCCCTAGTGACTCTGTTGGAAATACATGCGCCCAGTAGGTTTCTCGGGAGGAAGAGGCGTGTCTCAAGCTTAGGCAGCAACACCTTCGTGATGTACACCGTACTCGCCGAAGCTTTCTTGCAGATGACGGAAGTCAAGATGCACGAGGAGCTCGCTGACGCCGGTGTGCTTTCAGAGTTTGATGAGAGCCTGGGAAAGGCAATGTTCGTGTCGCACCAGTGGCTGAGCGACACCCATCCTGATCCAGATTTCCAGCAGTTGAAAGTTCTGCAGGATGCAATGAGGAATATCGTTGCCGGAACCAGCTCAATTTCTCAAGCTCTGTTCTCAGAAATTGTGTATGGTCGAAGAAGATGCCCTACAGCCGCTGACTTCGCATCCAGCCATCTTCACATTTGGTATGACTACTTTAGCATCCCACAAAGCAGAGATCGCCGTGCATCTCAGGGCCGTCAGACAGCAATCCAAAGCATCCCAACGTATGTGGCAAGATGCGAGTTCTTTGTCGTGCTATGTCCGGCTCTGAAGCACAGAGACCAGCAGCGGACTTTGAGCCATGCCACTTGGGGCGAAAGGGGGTAGCTGAGTTGCACTGGCATTTTTTGCCTTTGACGATACACTTCTTCCCGCCTAGGCCTAAGTCTTGCTGGTTCTTCACCCCCGCAGCCCAGCCCAGGTGGTGTCGCACAGAGAGAGCTGCACGCGAACTCTCCACCCGCAGCGGTGGCTACGTCATTATTGTAGAGAGCGCCGCTCACCAGACGCTGCTGTGGGCAGGAAAAAGCATGAGGGATGCACCTGGTGAAGGAGAGTTTACGCTTGATGGTGACAGAGTGTGGATCGGTCGTATGGTTACTCAGATGGTCTGGACCAAGCTTTTCTACTACCTCGAGCATTCACAGTTTCACAACTACCGATTCCTTCTGAATTCGCATGGGGCGCAGTGTTTCCGTGGTCTGGACGTGGAGCCCATTGACGGCCTTGTTCCGGGCTTCCACACTGAGACCGACCCGAGTGTTGACTGCAACGGCTTCATGCTGGAACGTTTCCTGCATCAGAACGGCCTCAGGATCGTAGAAACCCAAAATCCTCAGCCCCTGAATTTGCCAAATCTCGCGACTCCATACTTGTCCTCGATTTGTGCCGACAGGAACATCTTCGAGCGGGACAGCGCAGGGTGGCCGCCCATTTGCTTCGCAGCGATGAGCAACAACGTCGTGGTGCTGCAAGCGCTTCTCGACCGAAAGGTGGATATCAACCAGGCTACGACCAAGCCCGCAGTGGAGATCAATCTTCCTGCTAAGCTGACGGCTCTGGGAATAGCCTGCTTGTTTCGCAACGATGAAGCTCTCGAGCTGCTTCTGTGCGCCAGAGCCCACGTAAACAACAAGGATGGTTTTGGTGGCAATGCTCTCCATACGGCGTGCGTAGGGGACCATGCACGCGGAGTACGTCTACTCTGCCATGCTCGTGCCAACGTGAATCAGCAGGCCATGCCGGGAATGAGCCCTTTGATGATCTCGTGTGCATGCGCAAGTCGGCATGCCATGAAGGAGATGCTCAATCTGAATCCGGGTTTGAGCTTGCGACACTGCCTACACATCACACTCATGTTCGCTGGGGGTGGTTCTGCCGACTTGGTTTCCGTTTTGCTCGCTGCACGGGCGAATGTGAATGAACAGTTCCGAGTACAGATCCAGGAGCCGGGGTGGTGGCTTCTCATGACTGCCATGGGTGTGAGGCATCGGGTAAGCCCTTCCAGACTGACTCTGCTGGCTTATCATCATTACGATGCGACGCCGCTGATGTTCAGCCTTCTGAGTGGTTCTCTTGATTCTGTGTCCACTCTGCTGTCAGCCCGAGCCCGAGTAGACATCCGAAATTACCGTAAGAAGACGGCATCCGATCTGGCACGCCAGATGCTCGCGCCGTCGTGGTTGATCGAGGCCTGCTCTACCAAAGGCGAGCCAGACGCTGAGGCCCTTGCCGAGAGCGACACGTTTTTCATTTGAGAGGTCTTGGCCGACGCCGAAGGCGTTCCCCGCCCAAGGTTCACGAGGTTAGTTTTCTTAGATCGCCAAATAATGTTGAAGCTTTTTGATCGCTGGATCAGTGATGCAAGAACACCACTTAGTCTTCAGCATTCGCGATTTGCAAAACAAAGTACGATATTACACAGTTCTGCGTTTTGTAACCTGTAAGGCAATGTAAGGCAACGGAACAGTACGTAAACACCTGCAGCATACGCTCGGTAGAAAGGTCACTGCTATCCAGCACCGTTCATGACATTCTATACGTTACAATTTCCCCGCTCCTCATTCGAGCCCTCTCTCTCTCTCTCTCTCTCTCTCTCTCTCTCTCTCTCTCTCTCTCTCTCTCTCTCTCTCTCTCTCTCTCTCTCTATATATATATATATATGTAATATGTGGAATGTATGTTATGTATGTAATATATGTAATATCTGTAATATATGTAGTATATGTAATATATGTAATATATATATATATACACACACACACACACGCACACCTTTAGGTGAGTATGTACGTACGCATGTATGCATGTCTGCATGTCTGTGTTTCTGCATGTCTGCATGTATGCATGCATGTATGGGTGTATGTATGTACGGATGCATATATGCATGTATGGAGGTATGTATGTATGCATTTATGCATGTATGTATGTATATACATATATCCATAAATGTATATATATATATATATGTATATATATATATATATATGTAGGTGTGTATGTATTCATGTATGTATTGATGGATGTATGGACGTATGGATGTATGCTATGTTGCTATGTACTTATGTATGTGCGTATGTGTGTATGTGTGTGTTGCATGTGTAGATACGTGTATGTGTGTGTATATATGTATGCATACATGTGTGTGTGCACGAATGTAGAGATGCTTGACATGTATGCACGGGCACAGTAATTACACTGTTCAGTCAGTGGCAGCAGCTGCTCCCTCGGACCCCTGGCGCCTCAACTCCGCGCCCTAATACTGCCTCAAATCTAATCGTACACTCCTGAGTCAACCTAAACTATCGAAAATTCTTGCTTTGTAAAAGGGCATGGCATGCAAATGCTAGAGACAAGCCAGAAAAACCAAGCTTCGCTGGTTTGTCGGAACGCTATGCTTCAGGGTCTTTGGTTTGAGGGTGGAGTGTTGGTGTTAAGACGCTAAACCCTAAACCCTAAACCCCTAAACCGTAACCCTAAACCCCTAAACCCTAAACCCCTAAACCCCTAAACCCCAAACCCTTAAACCCTAAACCCTAAACCCCTAAACCCCTAAACCCTAAACCGTGGCAGCAAGGGGGCTGATGCTGTTCTGGCGAGCTTTCAGCCGATGCCACTGCGTCCAGAGACTGCTCCACGCATGTGGCATGGCCGAGCTAATATAGGGGCCTTAGGGTTTAGGGTTTAGGGTTCAGGGTTTAGGGGTTAGGGTTTAGGGTTTAGGGCCTTAGTAATTAGACTAGGGTTTTGGGACATATTACTCCATACTTCTATAATCATAATGAGGAACCCCCAAAGTAGTATAGGTAGTTGGCCATCATCAGTTGTATAGTCTTTTGTAGTAGATGGTCCACCGCAGTGTAGTTATCCAGGCAGTGGGCTTAAGAGATCTCCGACAGGCTTAGGGCAGTTTGGGGTCGAAAGGTCTGAGGGTTAATATAGGGGCCTAAATAAACAATTACCTATACTACTTTGGGGATTCCTTATCATAGTTCTAGACTTTTAGAGTAATATGTCCCAAAACCCTTTTCTAATCACTAAGGTTCTATATTAGGAGAAGTGTAAGTTGCCAGCAACATTTAGGCACTGCATGGCATGAAGCTCCGTTCTTAAATATCTGCGCAGGTAAGGGTAAACTTTGCACTGTGGGCATTGTGTAGACATCTCCCTAAACCCTAAACCCTAAACCCTAAACCCTAAACCCTAAACCTTAAACCTTAACCGTAGGAAACCTGAGCCCTGAAGTCAGGTGGGGGGATCGCTGCCTTCTTCCAGTGGCGGCTCGGCCGGGGAGTGCATGGGAATCAGGGTTCTGGTTTAGGGTGTACCTGTAGTCGAAATGACCTGCTTTTTCAGGTGCCCGTATGATGATTCCTGATATGTAGTTCTTTACGTTAGGCCTTTTCGGCTACAGGTAGGGGTTACGATGAAGGGTACCTGTAAAGATTACTACGACCCTGCTCTGAGGTTGCTATGAGGTTCCTGTAAAGGTTACTGTAAAGGGTGCTATGAGGCTATTGTAATTGTAAGGATACTGTAAGGATACTATAAGGGCTACTATCAAATTAACTAAAAGGGTTACCTTAAGGTTTCTGTAAGGGTACTATAACGGTTACTATACCAAAGTTTGCTGCTTGGGGTTATGGCTGGTTATCGAGATCTCTCTCGGGCCACAGCTACCAAGTGACTTGCCGTCCGGATGAATATAGGGGTGTGAATAATTAGCAGAAGGGGTTCCTTATCATGATTATAGTATATGAGGCCCCGAAACCCTATTCTAAGTATGAAGGCCCCTATATTATCATCCCCGTGGGGTTAAGCGTTCCGGTGTAGTAGAGGGGCCAACGCTCCACACCCGGGGCCGAGGTATGTACTGACGCTGGCTGGGTTGGTGCTGCTGTTGGTGCCCTGGCCATGTTCTCATGGATTGCGGCTTTGCTGGCAAACGCGTACCTTTCTTTCCCCGAGCAGGGGTGGTACTAATGTCGTGATGTGTCTTCGACGATAACAACATCACCTAGAACAGAAGTTTTGCACAAAACAGTAGAGAACGTCGCAAAACAGGACCCATGGCCTGCTGAGATAGAGGACATCCCTTGAGCCAGAAACACTCCAAACGCAGCAGGCTGACACGGGAGGATGGATCTGAATTCCGATAATGGTGCAGTGCTTGGGAGGTACTTTGGTTCTGACCTTCCTGGGAACTGGTCTCAAAAGGCTAGGATAGGCGATGATGGAGTGCGTATGTACCTGGTTCAAACGATCTTGCAAGCAAGACACGCTCTAGTGGGCGACAGTGAATGGGCACAATGCTTCAAACATCCCTCAAGCGCAATGATATGGATCACGTTTAATATGGTTGGCCAGCATGCAGCGCAGAACAGTGTACGGAATCATGCAAATGCGGTAGAACGCAGTCTGATATGGTGCAGTGTAGTAGTAGATAGTAGAGTCTGCATAGCCCAAAACAATGCATAAAGATGTTGCAGCATTGCTCGCTAATCCCCCAAAGCCCAAAACCCTAAACCTTATAGACGCCCACAGTCTTAGACCCAAGCCCCTCGAACCCAAAGCCCCCAAAGGCTACAAAATCAAGCCCGAAGTCCCGAAAAGCCGAAACGGCTTGGATGCTAAACCTAAACCCTACTTGAAGGCTCATGGGGCTTAGTAAGGGTTCTTAAAGGGCTCCTTAAAGGGATCTATAGGGTTCCTTAAAGGGATCTATATGGGGTTTAGGGTTTAGGGTCTACTTGAAGGCTCATGGGGCTTAGTAAGTAAGGTTATAAGTAGGTTATAACTAGGAGAACCCCACTTGGGGGACTTATAACTCCAATCATAACCTACTTACTAAGTCCCATGATCCTCTAAGCAGGTGTTGCGGTTTGAGGATTTAGGCTTTGCGCGCGTGGTGGGATTTAGAGTGTAGGTGTTGGAGATGTGAAGTTTTGCTGGGGTTTGGGTTAAGGTTCCCGAACCCTAATGAACTTGGAAGCCATGGCAGCGGATGTGGTGCCCCTGCCCAAAGCGAGCTCCGATCTCGACTTCGTGACGATCGAGGACTGGAGGAATGTCCTGGAGGGTCCCGTGCCCAGCTATGTGAGGACCGAGTTCGGGTTTAGGGTTTAGGGTACACAACTACTTCAAATAAACACATTTCAAGTACACTAAGAGGCAGCAGTGCTTTTTCTTTAGATGACAGCGCCTTGAACTTGAACCGCAAACATAGCCTGCCCAACCCAAATTCAAGATCTTCGAAACCCGACTCTCCAACTTCGACCCTATTCCACATCCCCGCACCCGAAATAACGCGAGGACACTCTTCGTGGCGCTACTGCGCTGCACTCGCCCAGAGAGCTCGGCGGCCAGTTGGACCCAGCGCCTGGGTTCGATTGCTAGGGCCTTGGGTTAGTTCTTCTCCTGCAGAAGACGTGTGGATCCCCTTAAGATGTTCATTCCTTGACCTGTACTGCGGATGCCTTGTAAGGGATGACCAATGATGTTCAACACTTTTCAGCTCTTCGACAGTCTTCCAAACCTTAAACAAAGCAGCTGCAGAACCTTATGGTAGTTCCCAAAAGTAGGGGTTTACCTCATTCTGGGGTCCTCATAATCAGGATCCTACCAAAAAGGGTACTATATTAGGGTTCCCTGTTTTCAGAAATTCCCATATCAGGGCCTGAGTTCCCTAAGTCAGTGTGCAACGGCCTTTTTCTCCTAGATCCCTAAACCCTGGCCCCCCAAAACCCTCGCGCCAAAACCCTGAACTGTGAACCGCTAGAGCCCGACGCGCAGAGAAAGTGAACCCTACGAGCTTCAAGCCTCCCAGAAACTTGAATGCTAAAGCCTGGTACATAAACCTGGCAGCCCCTTAGTGCCACCTAAAACTCCCGCCCCTAGACCCCGAAACCGAAACACTAAACCCTACAAATCAGCAGCTGAGGATCCAAGATCTCCTGAGAGGGGACGTCGGGTTCATAGCCGCGCTGCAAGCCTTCGAGCCGGAGGAGTGGGGGTTTTGAGGATTCAGAGCGGGTTTGGGGTGCAGATTTTGGGATTTTTCGGGATCATGGTTCCTGGAGGTTTTTGAGGTTTTGGAGGGGGTTGGTTTACTTGGAGGTTCTTGGGTAGCTAGAAGTGGGGTCATAAGTAGGGTAACTATACTTATAACCCATATTAAAGGAACTTACAAGTAGCCATGAACCTCCAAGTAGGGTTCAGGGTCGCATTTCGGATGTGTAGGTTTAGGGTTTTTTCGGGATCATGGTTCCAGGAGGTTTTTGAGGGTTGAGGTAGAGTCTGTCTGGCTTCGGGCTTTTGGGTTTCGGTCAGAGCCATTCGCATTCTTTTTCCCAAGCCCGCGAAAGCTGCAGCCCGAAATCCTACTCCCCAATCAACTAAGCTAATCCCTACAGCACTAAACCATCAACCCTGAAACGCCTGAATCCCTCATTCCGAAAAGGCCCCACAGAGGCCGAAGCCTGATCTGCAGCCCTACTGAAAGGATCATGGGACTTAGTAAGTAGGTGATAATTGGGGTTACAAGTCCCCTAAGTGGGGTTATCCTAATTATAACCTACTTATAACCTTACTTACTAAGTCCCATGAGCCTTCAAGTAGGTGTTGAACGGGGCGTTCTTTCAGGACAGCGACAGGCACCGCATCCGGGACATACTTTATTCAGAGATGGAGGTCGCCTGGCCACCCGTCGGTTTGGGGTTGGGATTTCTTTAGGGATTGCCGTAAAGGCTTTTGCAGGGGTTCCTCCAAGGGTATTTTTGCGGGGATTTGGGATTATAGGCGTTGATTTGGTAGGGGTTTGGTGCTCTAGAGATCATTGGGGTTAAGGCGGATAAGGATTGTTGGATCTTGGCGTTTGACAGATGCTTTTTGCTTCAGTGGTTTTGCCACGGCTGCCCGAAACCCTAAACCCTCATATGGAGGTTACCTCTATCCCCGTGAAGTACATGGCCTTCTTCTCACCGGGTTGCGAGCTGCTCCTCCGCTGGTGCCACGCGCCTCAGTCTCGCACCCCAAATAGTGGGATCCTCTATCTTTACATAAGAACCTCTTCCCAGGGCAACTCAGAACCCCCTCATAGACACCTAAGTCCTACACTCTACATAGAAAGCCCAAACTCCAAACCCCGAAACCCCGAACCCTAAAGCCAAAAGCCTCAAGGCCTAAAAGGCCCTGCTTCCGAGGCATTGGGTGACGCCTGCGGCTGCCCGCCTCCGACCTTCCCGCTGACGGAGGATCACCTGCGCTCGGCGCGGGCGGAGGCGGAGGAGGCAAGGCACCAGCGCCAGAAGGCCAGAGACGAAGCCAGAGCTGCCAAAGAAGCCGCCAGGGCTCCCAAAGACAGAGAGGTCGCCAAGAAGGACACTGAAACGGAGGGGTCGGAGAGGGAGGCTTCGGAGGAAAGTGGAGGCCGGCTGCAGCTGAAGTCCCTCATCTCAGGGGAGGTCTTCGCCACCTTACCGGGTGCCCTTCCGACCTGGACCTACAAGGCCCGCTCTGCAGATTCTTGTTTCAAGCTGCAGATAAAGCCAGGGTCTCGAGCTGTAGAGTTTAGGGCTTCGGGCTTAGGGTTTTCGGGTTGTAGCATTTTGGGGTCCTGCTTGAAGGCTCATGGGACTTAGTAAGTAAGGTTATAAGTAGGTTATAATTAGGATAACCCCACTTAGGGGACTTATTACCCCAATTATAACCTACTTACTAAGTCCCATGATCCTCTAAGTAAAGGACATCGTGGATCGACTTCGACCCCTCCTTCCACAAGAGGCTGGGGTTCTGAGCCTCCTGGTGGGTGAGGCCTTGACGCCCATGGAGCCCAGGATGATTTCAGCCTTTGGGGTTTGTTGAGGTTAGGAGGGGGTTTAGGGCTTGAAGGGTTTTGGGGTTTTAGGGGTTTAAGGGTTTAGGGTTTTAGGGGTTTAGGGGTTTTAGGGTTTTAGGGGTTTAGGGTTTAGGGTTTTAGGATTCGGACTTAGGGTGTAGGATTGTCGAGGTTTAGGAGCTTAGGTTTTGAACGCGTCCAGTTCTAATAGCTTGGGGCCTGGGGTGTTGGAGGTTTAGGAGCTTACATTTTTTTACGTCCAGCGTGTCGGTTAGAGTTGCTTCCGAGCGGTTTTGTGGTTCGCTCCCGGGGGTTGCATGATGATTCGTCTTGCCTGCACGATATGGGAGTTTCCAAAAATTGGGGGTACCTTATTTCGGGGTCCTTATCATAAGGATCCCTGCTATTTAGGGTACCATATTAGGATCCCCTATTTTCGGAAGCTCCCATATATATATATATATATATATATATAGGATTTCTTGGAAGAGTCCGGTAGAATGAAGAAGAGTCTTGTGCAAGCTGCAGAAGAGTCATCACATCTCACGGGCCCTTAAACCCCCCGAAACTGGCCCTAAACCTTAAGTCCGAACCCCCCTAAACCCTCCTGGACCCCCAAGACCCTAGACACTAAACCCTAAACCCCCAAGGCCTTAAATCCTAAACTTCCAAGACCGTAAACCCTAAACCTCTAAACCCTCCTAAACCCCCAAGACCCAAAACCCCCAAAATCCGAATCCTAAAAACCCTTCAACCCTAAACCCTAAACCATAAAGCCTGAAGGTGAATATGGATCGTGCTTTTTCATACCCTGCCGTACAGTTTGCAGGTCTCCTGGCGCATAGGTGCCTTATGTCAGCTTGGGACGAACGAGCAGGCGTAGAAAGGAGCTCAAAAACCCCCTAAACCCTAAACCCTAAAACCCTAAAACCCTAAAACCCTAAAACCCTAAAGCAGTAAACCCTAAACCCTAAACCCTAAAAAAGCCTGAATCCGAATCCTAAAAACCCCAGAACCCCAGGAGCGCTACGAGGCCACGCTGGAGTCTCTGGGCCTGGACCTCCAGGAGCCCTTGGAGCGGTTGAAAAAGGCACCTTAAAGGGCACCTTAAGCGGTTTTTAGGGTTTTAGGGTTTTAGGGGCTTAGGGTTTGGGGTTTTAGGGTTTTAGGGTTTACTGTTTTAGGGTTTAGGGTTTTAGGGTTTAGGGTTTTAGGGTTTTAGGGTTTTAGGGTTTAGGGTTTAGGGTTTTAGGGTTTTGGGTATAGGGCTACTTTTCAGGGCACCTCAAAGGGCTATAGTATATAAGGGTTACCATAAAGGGCTACTCTAAGGGGTTACTTGGAGGTTGCGGGTTAGTTGTAAGTGAGATTATGGGTCACACGTTCAGGATTTAGGGTTAAGGGTTAGGAGTCCCCCTGATATGGGTGATAACATGCCCTAGTTGTAACCCTTACTTCTTGTAACTACCCATGAACCGCCAAGTAGAGTTGGGGCGGTCTTGGAGTGAACATGCACCAAGGTCTTAGGGATTCTTTCAAGGGTTCATTGTTGGGGTTCCTCTATGGATTTAAGGGTCCCCTTCAAGGGGTTTCGAGGTTGGACCATTGAGCGTCACCATTGGTCACCGTGGGTGTAAAGGGTGATGGCTTAGGGTTAAGGGTTTTGGGAGGAATTCGATGTGCAACGCTTTGAGGGGCAGGCGGTTTTGTGGGTTGAAGAGTTCAGGGGGGTTCAGGCTTGCAGGCATCCCTGGGCCCAATTCCTAAACTAGGACCCAGAGTAGGCCCTCATTCCCTTTTTCAGGGTTTAGGTTTCCTTAACCATCTTGAACCCAAAAAGGGCGCCCGTTTTTATTCCCAGGTTACTCTTGGGTCTAGTAAACTTACCATCCAAACCCACAAAGCAACCGCCCACATCGCCAAAGCTCCTGAGCCGCACAACCCTAAACCCCAACTTGAACCCAAATCCGAAATCCTGAACATAGAACTCTAGCAGAAAATCTATACCCTTGGAGTAGCCCTTTATAGTTACCCTTATATACTAGCCCTTTAAGGTGCCCGAAGCTCTAATGCCCAAAGCTTCATGCTCCAATCCCTAAACCCGAAGCTCAACAACCCCGAACAGCTGTCGGCCATGCGAGGAGTGTGAGCTTTTCTACCGTGCTGACACCCTAGAGGCCTCCCTTTTGGAAGCCCTCGGACCTATTCTTTCATCGATTTCCAGTTTGTTGTTACGGGCTTTTAGGTTAGGGTTTAGGGTTTAGGGTTTCGGTTTATGGGTTACGAGTTTAAAAGGGTTTCAGCTTTACGCCGAAGGGGGCGGTTCTCGTTTGCACACCCCGAGCCTTGCACCCCTAAACCTTAGCTCCTTGAAGCTTGAACCCGAACCCTAAACCCTAAACCCTAAACCTCCTACATGCAGCTACTTGGAGGCCTTGGTGGAGGTTCATTCACAGGCGACGCGCGAGCGCAAGAAGCCGTCTGACATGGGAGAGGCGGTGCACTGCATCCGGGGTGCGCATGTATGCAGTAGAAACCCAAACAGGGGATCTATAGTAGGATTCCTTTAGGGAATCATAGGGTTCCTTTAAAGGGCTCTTTACGAAGCCCAAAAGTTGGAAACCCAATAGCCTCAATCCTTAAGAGTAATGCATCGGAATCCCAGCACTACTTGGCCTTAATCCGGGAACCAACTTTATGGGGTTTACTGTAAGGCTTTAGGGCAGGTGTAGGCTTGGGCGTCAGGGGTTCAGAGCCTAGACTGCTATGTATAGAGCGGTACTATAGGTGCCTTTAGAATATGAATGGAATTGTAGTCTCGAGCATCCCTTACAGTTCCAAAATACAGTTATATAGTATAGAGGACGAACCTCTATTTCTAGATATTGAGCCAATCATGGGGTTCAGGGTTTCGGGTATAGGCTTAAGGGGTTTAGGGTTCAGCGTGTGCCGGGTCGAGGGATGCAGTTCTTTCTGGCGGACTGTGGAGTGATTCACGCCTGCTGCCGGGTTTAGGGTTTAGGGGTTTAGGGTTCAGGGTTTTGCATTCTTGGGGCCGAGGTCTTAGTGACTCCAAGGTGTTTGAGTAAGTTTCGAGTCAATTTGTTGTGGGTCATTGTTAAGGACTACAGCTCTAGACCCGAAATCCCTCAATACCAAAAAAAAGAATCCCCTTACCTGAAAATTCTTCGGGAGATCCCTGAAGCTTCACTTTCTCAAGCCCAGTCTGCACCCGGCCGACGTTGATAGACCTCAAGGGTAAAAGGAGGGACCCTTAATAAGGACCCCTAGGTATATACCCTCAATATATCTATTATATACCCATTATCTAGCCCCATTATAGGGTAGGTCCCTCCTTTTCCCCTTTTGATAGATGCATTCAGGCCGAGGATCAGGCTACCCTTCGCGCCTTGCTGGCTGGGGTCGAAGAAGCGCTGTCCGTCCTTGGGCTTGGTTTTTTCGTTCCCTTGTACTCGGAGAGCCCAATACGCTTTAATTAAGGAATATACCTTAAATCATAGGGGGATCTCTGGGCAGGTGTCCTGAGACTTTGGATGATGCTGCTGCGTGTGCCTCTGTGCCTGCTGCCGCTGCTGCTGCTCGCTGTCGTTGTTGTTGCTGTACGAGGCTCCTACTGGACTGCCACTGCTTGCTTATCCTACTACTACTACAACTATTACTACTGCTGCTGCTGCTACTACTACTACTACCACTACTACTACTACTACTACTACTACTACTACTACTACTACTACTACTACTACTACTACTACTACTACTACTACTACTACTACTACTACTACTACTACTACTACTACTACTACTACTACTACTACTACTACTACTACTACTACTACTACTACTACTACTACTACTACTACTACTACTACTACTACTACTACTACTACTACTACTACTACTACTACTACTACTACTACTACTACTACTACTACTACTACTACTACTACTACTACTACTACTACTACTACTACTACTACTACTACTACTACTACTACTACTACTACTACTACTACTACTACTACTACTACTACTACTACTACTACTACTACTACTACTACTACTACTACTACTACTACTACTACTACTACTACTACTACTACTACTACCACTACTACTACTACTACTACTACCACTACTACTACTACTACTACTACTACTACTACTACTACTACTACCACTACTACTACTACTACTACTACTACTACTACTACTACTACTACCACCACTACCGGACCACGTCCCGACCACGTCCACGACCACTACCACGACCGCGATCACGACCGCTACCGCGACCGCGACCACGACCGCGACCACGACCACCACCACTACCACTACCACAACGACCACTGCTGCCACTACTGGCTACTTTGTTTACAACTCGTACGCCTATACCTCCTGCTACGACTCCCACTTCTCCTACTCCTTTGCTCCTGCTGCTTCTCCTGCTACCACTACCACTGGCACAACCGCCGCCACTGAAACTGCTACGCCTCGTCCAGGCTGCAGCAAAATCATGTACTAATACTTCATGTTACACACTATGTGGTTCTCAAGAAAGAGCACGACACTGATGGTTATTGTTTTTTGTTGTTCTTATTGCCTTAGCATGTATTGTGGATGTCCTGCCAGGTTCTGCACCAGAGGGACCTCACGATGATTAAGCAGTTGGCGAGGCCTCCGGTGCACGTCTACCTGACGGTGGAAGCCGTCGTCGCTTGACTACTCTTCTGGCATTGAGGCTTTTGGGCTTGGGGTTTAGGGTTTAGGGTTTAGGCTTGTGGGCTTGGGGTTTTCCGGGGGGTTGCAGTATGACACGGCACGGGGAACAATCTTGGAACCTGTGCTTTAAGGATTTGTGTTGTGGGCGTCGCTTTTGAAGAGATTCTTTTGAGAGATAGCGCTTAAGCGGACGGTGGGACTTAAGAAATCTTGCCTCTGACTCCTACCGCAAAACCTTTCAACAAAAGCCAATATATATGGGCCTGAGCAACTACCACTACACTACCGCAGGGTTCCTTATTGTTGCTAAACTGTAAGAAGCCCGAAAACCCTTTCCAAATTATTAAGAACCCTCGTAGACCCCTGAAAAAATTGTCCCCGTCTGGAAATCCGTGTAGAACTCTTCTAGAAACCCACAAGAACCCCTTATCGTCGTTCCCCTCCGAGGCCATCATCCTCCAAGAGCCGGCGAGCAGCTGGCGGAGCCTTGCCTCTGTGCTGGCCGATGGATGCCTCGATAAGATGAGGACCTCGGGTGGGGCTCCTTAAAGGGATCTATAGGGGTTCCTTATAATGGGATCTATAGGGGGAGACTTTCGTTCGGGTTGCAAGAGCCAAGCCTGTTGCTTAAAGGATCATGGGACTTAGTATTACGATTAAGGCAACTATACTTTTAACCCCAGTTGCCCATCTTTGGTGAGTAGGGAATGGAAGAATGGTAGTAATAGTAGTTGTAATTGTACCCCATTCCTCCATTCCCCACTAACCAAAGGTAAGAAGCAGGGTGTGGGGTGTTGGTTTTAGGGGGCTTGCGTTCGGAGAGGCTCTTCTTATTGGGGTGGGGGGGAGGGAGGGGGGGTGGTATTGGGGTTTGGATTTAGGCGCAGAGGGATTTGCAGAGGCTGTAGGGATTTCGGGGTTCAGGGTTTTAAGTGCAGGCTTCGTGGAGCCTTTTCCTGTTTGGGGCTGGAGGTCTCAGTTGAAGATTTCAATGTCTCTTCCAAACAATCGGTTCTTCCCTGAAGGCTTACAGCAGATTTGTCTCTGCAGAGAGGGCCTCAGAAAAGATTGAGCATGTAAAAAGCCCGAATCTATAGCGCCACTGAACACACCCCTACACACTAGACCTTAAATTTCAAGGCCCCGCCGAGTGGAAGCTTTCGTACACCACACAGCACTAGCAACCTCCACTGTGGGTTTTTCGGCATTTGCCATGAAAGACAAGTGTCTAAACACAGGGAATGTAGTTTTGAACAGCTCGGGTGCCCGCAAACCATCACAACCCCAAGCCCGAAAGTCTTTAACCTGAGACCCGAAAGTGACAAAACCCACCAATAACCGCACCCCCCAGAAAGCACTAGCCTTCAACGGTCCAGGAACTTGGATGTCGAAAGTGTACCTCTCTCCACTCTAGCTCGGCTGGAGTGGTGCCTCGGCTCTTGGGATAGTTGGAGTTTAAAGGGTTTAGGGTTTAGGGTTGGAGTTTCAAGGGAGCTTCGCATTGGGGTGCGAGGTCTTTAGTTGATCGTTTTAAGTTGGAGGTAGTAGTAGTAGTAGTAGTAGTAGTAGCAGCAGCAGGAGTAGTAGTCGTAGTAGTAGTAGTAGTAGTAGTAGTAGTAGTAGTAGTCGTAGTAGTAGTAGTAGTAGTAGTAGTAGTAGTAGTAGTAGTAGTAGTAGTAGTAGTGGTGAAAGTCTTGGGACTCAGGCTCGGGGATTTCGGGCTAAGTTTCTGGTTGGAAATAAGATCGCTGTGCCACAGTGGGTGGAGAATGATATCGGTCGATAAGGTTTTGAGGTGGGTTTCCAACGTGGCAGCGGTGCTCTTTGCCGGCAAGTGCAACCCAGTTAGGCTGAAGAGTTGACTGACATGGCAGCGGGACTGCTTCCGTCTTCGTGATTAGGTTTATCACAGTGCAAGAGCCACAAAGCCAGCTCTAAACCCAAGACCGCAACCCCAAAGCCCACAAGCCGGAGCCTGAAGCCAGGTATGTCAACCACGAAAGGCTGTCGCCAGAGGTCCTCCGCAAGGGCGCTTGTGGCGCTGATCGCCTGATGCAGTGGGTCCAGCTTGTCTTCCACGCCGGCTTGCTGAAAGCACAGCTGGACATGACTCCGGTCGATGAGTGAGGGTTTGTCCCAAAAACACGGGGCTTAGACCTCAAGCCCTTGCAGAGCTCCAAAGCCTTGGTCGTGAACCTGGACCTCTAGACCTAGCTAGCATTACCATTGGAAGCTGCCATGACGACTACGACGATGACATGGGCGACGACGACGACTGCTACTATTACTGTGATGACGACAACTGTTGCTGCGGTTGCTACTCTACTTCTACTACTTGTGCCACTGCTGCTGCGACTACTGCGACTACAGCTACGCAGTTTTGGAAACCGGGTTCCTTGATTTTGAAATTATGGGGCCCTTTGACAAGGGGAGTCCTAACAAAAGATCCGCGCCGAGGGTCGTCCGACCCCAGAGTTTTGGTAGCCTGCTGGAGGTGTAGCCGGGGACATTCCCTTCTTAGAGGAGGAGGAGGATTAAGCCCCAGGCCATGGAGCAGTAGAGCTGGACTGTATACTTAGAGGATCATGGGACTTAGTAAGTAGGTTATAACTGGGGTTATAAGTCCCCTAAGTGGGGTTATCCTAATTATAACCTACTTATAACCTTACTTACTAAGTCCCATGAGCCTTCAAGTAGGCCCTAAGCTGCAAGCCCGATTCCGACATGACTGTCGACCGGAGAGCCGATTGTGAAGCCCTTCGCCCTGGCAAAGCCCCAGGTGCAGGGCCACTCTACGCTTCATTAAAAAATGTGGCTTAAATTATATAGGGCTTCATATTATGATTTAAGCTATATTCCTTACTGCTTTGAAATGTGTTGGCATGCTCAGGGTTTCGAGGTGTGGGGTGCATCCGTGGCTTTGGACTTTGCTGCAGACAAGACAAGACGCCGAGGCAAGCCCAGCCTCAACGGCGAGCTTCTGAAAGGGTGAATCCACTAAGTTCCTCACCCCGACACTCCCGAACCTCGATACGATACGTCTCAACTTCGCACTTCAAGGGGAAAGCAGGAGATGGTGTTGTTGAAGCATGTATGGTTTAGGGTTCAGCCCAAAAGAAGGGGCAGTAAGGGCCGTGATTGAGTTGAGGCGAGGCTGGGGTCTGGTTACACGGCAGCCCCGCAAAAAACGCCTGTAATGGTCGCTGATGGAATTTGCGAGATGTTGACAAGTTTAAAACCAGACTCCTTAGAAGCTCAATGTCGGGCCAGGCCAGGACCATGTGGGACATCATCAAGTACGACTACATCGGTTACAGCTTCTTGAATACAGTTGCTCAGCTGGAGGGCAGTCTGGACTGTATTCGCGCTGGAATTTACATGCCGGTGGTGTTGTTCGTCTACTAACTACGACTACTACTACTACTGCTGCTACCACTGCTGCTGCTGCTACTACTACTACTACTGCTGCAGCTGCTACTGCTACTGCTACTGCTACTGCTACTGCTACTGCTACTGCTACTGCTACTGCTACTGCTACTGCTACTGCTACTGCTACTGCTACTGCTACTGCTACTGCTACTGCTACTGCTACTACTACTACTACTACTACTACTACTACTACTACTACTACCGACTACTACTACTACTACTACTGCTACTACTACTACTACTAGTCCTACTGCCACTGCTACTGCTACTGCTGCTACTACTACTAGTAGTAGTAGTACTACTACTACTACTGCTGCAGCTGCTACTGCTACTGCTACTGCTACTGCTACTGCTACTGCTACTGCTACTGCTACTGCTACTGCTACTGCTACTGCTACTGCTGCTGCTGCTGCTTCTGCTGCTGCTACTGCTACTGCTACTACTACTACTACTACTACTACTACTACTACTACTACTACTGCTACCGCTGCTGCTACTGCTACTGCTACTGCTACTGCTACCACTACCAGTACGTCTTCCACCACCCTCACTACCTTCACATCATCATATATCATCATCGTCATCGTCGTTGTCGTGGTGGTCACCATCGACATCATCATTACCATCATCATCATGGTCATCATCATCATCATCATGATCATCATCTTCATCGCCATCATCATCTGCATCATCGTCATCATCATCGGCATCAGCATCATCATCATCATCATCATCGTCATCATCATCATCACCACCATCATCACCATCATCACCATCATCACCATCATCACCATCACCATCATCAGATCATCAGGCCGGTGTGAAACTTCGTCTGGGTGCCGTGTCCCGCAGTTTTCGGGGAATTGTCAGACATGCTAGCAGTGCGAGGGCACAAGGTGTTCAACGTTCATAGTGTATATAAAGTCTTTGACATTCTCTCGTGCGTAGCCTGGCCACGAGGAGAAAGTCGATGCGAAGATCAGTACGATCTGTGAGGGCTTTCTGAAATCCAGTGCTGACAGCACAGCTTGCCAGAGCCTGAGGCTGGCAGGGTTTTCGGCTTTACAGGGCTTTACCAAGTTTGCCTTTGGTGTTGAGGGTTGCAGGAAGTTGCAGGTTGCGGGGCGTAGGGGTTCAGGATTCAGAACTATCCGCTGCAGGATGAGCATACAGAGAGCCCAGAAGCATTGAGGTGCAGCGCGCCTAGGAGGGCCCCAAAACCCTAAGCCCTAAACCCTAAAGGCCGTAAACCCCTATAGATCCCTGATAATGTAGGAACCTGATCAAGAAACCGTGGTCCTATGACACCAAATATATTAGGATTCATATACGGAACCCTCACAAAGGCCTAAGGTTTCTTAATCAGGTTCCTACATTAGGAACCCCACAGCCCGAAGCGGTCCGAAGCATGTGGGAGTTTCCGAAAGTTAGGGGGTACCTTGTTTTGGGGTCCTTACAAGAGGGAACCTACTATTTGGGGTACTACGGTTGATGATTTAAATCCTGCATGACCCAAAATAAGGAATATATACCATAATTTCCATCGTTTAGGGTCCATTGCAGGATTTTTATCATCAACAGTATATCTGGATCCCCCCATTTTCGGAAACTCCCTAAACCCCTTATAAAACCCTTATAGATCCCTTAAAGGAACCCGAATGGAACCCTCGAAAGGAGCCCTATCAGGATCCCCCATTTTCGGAAACTCCCTAAACCCTAAAGCCCTTATAGAACCATAATAGGGCTCTAATATAACCCTTATAGTGACTATTACAGGGTGGGGGCAGCTTCTAAAGGATCCCCCATTTTCGGAAACTCCCATCTGCGGCCAGGGAGGAGTTGAAGATTCCTCCGTGGCTGCACGCGGGCTCCTTGCTGGCGCCTGCGGCTGGGACCGGAATTTTTCGGTAGTTTCCGACAATTCACGGTAGCTTGTTTTGGGTTTTTGTAAATAAGGATCCTACTCTTCAGGGTGTTATATCGAGATCCCCTATTTTCGGAAACTCTCAAATGCTGTTCAGAACACTTCGCTCTCACTGCGAACGCTGCGAAGACGGTGAATGCTGTTAGTCATGTCTGGTGTAGTCCTACTGTTACGCTGCTCCAGTGGCCAAGATGTTCATTCTCCTTTCTACTGCAGTTTGGGTTTTACTGCTCATGCATGGACGGGGCTTGAGGGCTTAAGTTTCGGGTCTGAGGCTTGAAGGTAAGCCTTCGCTAAGCTGGTAGAAGTGCTTGGGGCTTCACACCGTAGACGCCGTAGACATGAGTGAAACAGCCGAATGCTGGTTTGGAGACGCTCCAAGGGACCCTTGTCTGTTAAACCCTGTACATAGGCGGGTGCAGTCGTGAACCCTTGCCCCGCCTGTCCAGGCTAGCTGTTGCCATGCCGGAATGATTGCGCCGTGTGTGTTTTTCCCGCGGATCTGTATTCATTCCCATGATGTGCCAATTGGCTCGGGTATGATTTCAACAAGACGGGTCGACGAGACGATCTGATGACGTTCCACTGCTGCTTTCTCTCTCCTGCTTCCTTGGCTGTGTCGCAAAACACGATTTGGTGTGTTTTGGTTTTGGAACACCCGACTGCTCTTCTTGTTTTGTGTGTTTCTTGCGATCGGTCAGGAGAAGGTCGGACAAAAGGAGAGGGGGGAGGGGATGATGGCGTTGCGTTCCTTGTTCAACGTTTGATGAGTGTACAGTGGCGATACTCAGAATACTACTGGTGATGATCGGATGATGCGGGTCGGTTTCCTGTGATGATTAATGAAAAATGGCTCCTGTGATGATGACACATGCAATCAGTTCGAAATCTCGCTTGATACCATACCAAGCGGGGCTTAGGAGGACGACGCATGGCCCGTGCTCCAACGTTTCTCATGCAAGTCTCAGCTATCTTCTTTATCTTCCAAAGAAAGCCTCAGCCTAAGTCCCTTGAATGTCTTGAAGCCCTAAACCCTGAACCCTAAACCCCTAAACCCTAAACCCCTAGAGCCCTAAACCCCGACCTTGAAGCCCTAAACCAAAGAAGGCCCGAAACCGAGCCGAGGTCTTTGGCATCTTGGGCTTCGTGGTCCTCGCTAAGTGCCTCTGGAGCTGCCTGGCTACACGATGACATAATACACTATCATTGAATATACTATCATATGATCTACTATCATATAATATACCATGATATGATCTACTATCATATGATAGGCTATCATATATTATATATTCTGTACGATAATAGAACATACTATGCTGTAACATGCTGTATCGCAATATGCAGAGACGCAGCGGGTTGGCTCGGGTACGCTCGTCAGGGGCCTGCAGGAAGAGAAGGGCCAACATAGAGCTTTCAAGACCTACTAGTAACCAGGAGCCCTCTGCTAATCACTCAAGGTTCTTTATAATGAGCTAGGGCCACTGCAAGACTGCGCAAGCAAGCATCGAAGAGGCTTCTGCCCCGGCGCCCGGAGCGTTTCTCTGGGGTGCTCATGTTTGCGGATCCTGTGTAGATGTTGCGACCGACATCTGAAACTGTGTTTATGTGGTTTGATGGAGCTGCGGCATGGACAACAAGCTCGAACCTGTGTGAACTGAGGGTTGAGGATTTCGGAAAGTTCAAGGTTTAGGGTTTAGGGTTTAGGGTTTAGGGTGAAGCCTAAACCTAAACCCTCAAAGCCAAGCTTTGCGAGGTTTTGTAGAGCTGAATCGCAGCGTGGCGCAGGGCACCAATCAGGCCTGAATCCCCTTTCCGCTTTTGAAGATCTTCGCGAAGTCATAATTGATAAGTGGGAGTTGATTTGGACTTCTTTCAGGTCTAGGGTTCAATGTTGTTTAGGGGTTTGTGAAACGGTATAAGCAGGTTAACGGGTACATCAGCAAGTAAGTGGGATTAAAGGTTGCTGCATCACTCACTAGACACATGGAGTTTCGTATCACGACACCTTCAAATCATGTAACTTGTTTGGCCTGATGCTTTGGTACAGGCTTTCGGTGCTCATTCGATAGGATGCCTAAACTTAAGAGATTTAGCTAGCCAACCACTGGGCTCACTAGTATGAATTAGTTTTTCATTTTATTTACCTCAAATTTACCTCCTGGATTTACCTTCCTCGTTTTCGTGTTCCTTTTATTATCCTCAAATCTTCCTCAAATTTACCTCCTGGATTTACCTTCCTCGTTTTCGTCTTCCTTTTATTATCCTCAAATCTTCCTCAAATTTACCTCCTGGATTTACCTTCCTCGTTTTAGTCTTCCTTTTATTATCCTGTCCGCCGCCGGAGGTAAATTTTAGGTAAATTTGAGGTAAATCCCGGGGGGGCAGCCGGAGGTACATTTATATAAAAACCCTAGGGAATTTACCTAGAATTTACCTCCGTAAATTTGAGGTAAATTTTAAGTAAATTTGAGGTAAATCCGGGGGGGGGGGGGGCAGCCGGAGGTACATTTTATATAAAAGCCCTAGGGAAATTACCTAAAATTTACCTCCAGTGGCTCCCGGTCCCCTGCCGGAGGTAAATTTGAGGTAAATTTTAGGTAAATTTGAGGTAAACACCGGGGGGGGAGCCGGAGGTACACTTTATATAAAAACCCTAGGGAATTTAACTAAAATTTACCTCCGGGGGCTCCCGGTCCGCTGCCGGAGGTAAATTTGAGGTAAATTTTAGGTAAATTTGAGGATAATTTGAGGATGACAGGTTGCAGGGAGGATATCGGGGAGGATAACGGGGAGGACAATGGGGAGGATAATTTGAGGAAAAGGTTGAGGATGATACAGCAGAGCAGAAATCAGGGAAGGAAGATGCCGGAGGATGATTTGAGGTAAATAAAACGAAAAAATAATTATTCATTGAAATCCAATGGTAGGCTGCCAGAAAATCTCTTAAGCCTAAACGGTTGGTTCGGCTGGTGGGAAGATTTCAAGAGCTAGGGCTCTGGGGTTTCGGGGCTTAGGGTTTAGGATTCTGGGATTAGGGTCCGGAGCCGGAGGTTTGCTTTAGTTTTGGACTGGCCTAAGTGGGTAGAACGCGAACCCTCGGAACTACCTTCATGTGGCTAGTTGTCAAAATTATGGTCCCTTTTTGGGTACCCTAAATGATTAGGTGCCATATTATTTCAAGGACCCAAAAAGGGACCATAATTTTGACAACCACCAATGTAAAGCTTGATGCCAAATCACCTAAGTCTGATGGGTTTCGATACAAATACCGCACCTTCAAATCCTACAACCTGAAGTCCTGAGCCGTATCCAGCGCTTATCATCACCACCTCGCAATCTCGGAGGTTCTCCCAATCCCATCACCGGCGGATCCCGATCTACCTTCTAACTCCCTGTGCGATCCAACTTCTACCAGGGAAGACGGCTACAGTTAGCGAAGGCAGAGTCCCTGTGTAACACCTAACAGTACTCTAGAGCCTAATGAACTCATTAACAGCCAAACCTTAAACCTGCGCAAGTGCATCAGAATCAGAACCCCAAAAAATACCCTAAACCTTAAACCCTGAACCCGAAATCCTGAACTCTAAACCCTTGACCCTGAATCCTAAACTCTAAACCCTAAACCCTAAACTGTAAAGCTTAAACTTCACAAACCCTAAACCCCAAACCATAGAAGACCTGGCCAACGCCTGGAGGATGTCCGCGTGGAGGCCATGGAGGCAGACGCCACTCCATGGAAGTTGGCTCCGCGATTGGAGTGGGTGTCGCGGCCAGGTTTGAGGGTTTTGGGGTTTAGGGGTTCAGGGGTTCAGGGGTTTAGGGGTTTAGGTGTAAGCATTTCTATCGGTTTCTTTGTGGAGCGGTCGGACTTGGAAGTAGCTTTCAGTGGGCATCAAGGGCAGCCGAGCCTCGCAGAGCTTGCTCAACTCCCAAAGGGTCCTATGTACTGTTATGGGGAATACTTCCTCAAATCATAATTGTAATTCCTAATATAGAAACCCTACATTCTACTATATCGGTACTTTGGACCCTTTGGGACTTTCTGCTCCAGAAACACCTGGTCCAAGTTTTTGAGACACGTCCTGCCACTACAGTGCTGTATCTTAGAGGGGTCAGAAGGAACGGTCTGAGTCATCGTCGAGTCACAGGACTGGACATCCTTCCTTAAGTTTCCTTATTACAATCACTCTATATCATGAAGAGTAGTATTCTATAATATCCCCCAACACCCTCGTCTAATTATTTGGGCTCATTATGCCATGAAGAGTAGGACTCACGGCAGTACCCTTAGCGCTCCTTCTCTCAGTGGCCCAGGTAATCATCATCCTCGGCACCCCTCTGATTTTCATCGCGGCTCCAGCGGCAGTTGTGGGGGCGGTTACAGTTTGGGCCCCTTTGAGGGGTTTCGGCTATCCGGCTTCAGGTTCGAAGCTCGGGTCTCTCTTTTGTCGAGCCCTCCTTGAAGAGTTGAGCTCATGTGCATGTTTTTCAGAAACCCCTAAACCCTAAACCCTAAACCCTAAACCAGCATTCCAGCAATCGGACGGAGGTGGGGTTGCTCTTGGACGCTCTGTGGGAGCTCCTTTTACTCGTCTTGAAGCAAAGGAGCCTTAGACGGGGCTGTTCTCTGAGTCGGTGGTGATGGGAAAGGAGCGAGCTCTGCCACTCAGTTTCTTTCAATGGTATCAAAGTATGCATTAGGGCTTTAAGGCTTTTCTGGATGGCAGACTGAAGCCCCACAAGCCCCAACAGCCCTGAGCCTTCGCACCCCACTGCAAACTCTCTTTCTTCCCGTTCCTGGCACGTCATTGGAAGGAATCGGGCACCTTAAACCCTAAACCTTGAGCCCTAAACCCCTAAACACTAAACCCCTAAACCCTAAACCCTAAGGAGCCGGGCTTGCCGCTATAGGGGTTTTACCGACCACAGGCGGTTCGGATGTCGGTCTTTGGGCTTCCAGTGGCGGAAATTGGGTCAGAGCAGGTTCTG